GATGGAATGTTCCTATTTTTCCACCAGGCGTCCTTCCCGCCATTGGTTTTTAAAGGCACCTCCACCCTGTTCTCCGTAGTGAACATTTTCATTTCTTAACAAAGACACAGTATCACAAGGAGATGGTCTTTATCTCTACATTCTTGGCTTCTCCCTACATCGTGTTAAAACATTTTAAGTTTGTATCATGGAGAATTTCTGATCATCAAAGCATTGAGAACAGTAGAGCTCTCATGTAACCATCACCTAGCTTTGACGACTGTAAACTTTTCCTCAACATCTCTGTTTCTTCTCTGACACATCCCATAGTATTTTCTCCTCTTTCTGTGGCTCTTACTTCCTTTTATCTCCTAGAAGATGCATGTAGCTTAAGTCTTAAAAGTAGAAGTATTGAATCGTCGATTTCCCGATTTCCTATGATTTCTGATTAGCTGTAACATTCTGTGTACTGTCATTGCCTCCAGCCATTGAAGAAGCGCGAAGACTCATCTCCACAGAAGATGCTTGTGCGTGTGAAGCCACACTGGCATTCCAGGATAAGGTCAACTCATATCTGCAGAGACTGAACTCGAAACATATCCTTTTTGGAAGGATTTCTGCTTCTGCTTGAAGCCAACCTAGGTCTTACAATGGACATTTGAGGACATTTCACAGGATAAGGGCCTTATTCATTAAGTTTTAAGATGAACAGTAGAAATACACAGCCTTAATTTTTTAAGAGTTCTTTTTAAATATTTTAGGAGACTGTTACACCCATTTTTATTTGCATGTGAAAGCGGTGTAATTATTTTTCTAGTGCTTTTCCACAGCAGTATAAGCTCCTAATTGAGCTCTATTTAACCAGGGCTATCATCCTGATTCCTTAATAGGACTTTCTTACTCAGACAAGTCAGCTGATGAATGGAGTGTGATAACTTTGTTTAGCCAGGTGGTCAAAGAGCAGGTTTCAAAATGTAACACGGTACCGCCTCAGAAACTTTCAAAAGCAGTTCTTTAGCCAAAGGAGTTATTCAGGAAGAGTACTTTTTCTTAGCCCAGCTGAAGTTAACAACACTGTTCCCAGGGATCTTCGAGGAGTATTCAAACTGCGATAGTTACCGAAAGAGTGTGCTTGCTGCTCAAAAAGTCAGCAAACAGGCCAGGTTGGTGGAAAGTAGTTTGCTTTATTTCAGATGCCGGCATCTGGGGGTGGTCAGGGGTGAGAGTTTTTATAGACAGCGGGTGGAGGACTACATGCAGAAACAGAACAGTCATCTTCAGATTGGTCCTCAGTGGTTTGACCAGCATCATCTTGGTTGTTTTAGGTGTGCTTAATCTTCTCTTCCGAGGTTCATTTGTTCTTTTCTTTGCGGCCAGTTCTCTGAATTGCCTACAGTCTGGTCATTAGGTAGCTAACTTCTTCCACCTAGTATTTTAGTATTGATGAGACAGTTCACAGGATATGGCTCAGAATATTATCTATAGCTCTTGAGAAAAAACTGAAGGTCCCTGACTATGCGTAATGACTATATTATTTAGTCTTTGATTATTTGTTTCCAAATTTCTCACTTCTCTGGTTAAGCTTATTCTTTGAGTAGTTTTCCACAGACAAAAGGGAGGCAGAGGACATGGTAAGGGGGCAAGGACCTTAGGGTTCAGCTCTTGTTTCAGTAGGAGCTTACCTCGGAGCTTGCAGAGACATTCAAGGCATATGAGGGGACACAGAACATTTTAAAGAAATGTTTCCAAATCCTTCACTTCCTTAAATTGATCTGCTTACAATGCAACTTGGGGTCAGTTGGCAGTCTCTTTTCCCATCTCTCATTTCAGTGCCACCAATCTCCTAACTTTACATGAGAAAGGGATATCTCTTGCTTACCCTGAATTTTAATAAGGTGAATTTCTTGGAAAGGTAAAATCTCCAGAGAGCCAAATAAAAGGACAATTCTTTTTTTAAGTTATTTATTTTTGGCCATGCTGGGTCTTTGTTGCTGCGCACAGGCTCTCTAGTTGCATTGAGAGGGGGCTGTTCTTCTTTGTGGTGCACGGGCATCTTGTTGCGGTGTCATCTCTTGTTGGGGAGCCTGGGCTTTAGGGTGCACAGGCTTCAGTAGTTGTGGCTGGGCGGATCTAGAGTGCAGGCTCGGTAGTTGTGGTGGGCAGGCTTAGTTGCTCTGCGGCATGTGGAATCTTCCCAGGCTGGGGATCAAAACCCATGTCCCCTGCATTGGCGGTGGATTCTCAACCACTGTACCAGCAGGGAAGTCCCTCAACAGTTTTTAAAATTAAGGTTTCATAAACACATCTCTCCCGATTCATTCCATTAAGAGATACCTTTCTAATTAAAATTTACCTTTTATTTTTTAAATGATTTTATCTCAAAATTTGTGATTGAGTTCTTGTTTGGATCAACTGTGTGCCCATCATAGTTGTAATGATAACTCAACCAAGGTGATTAAAAAAAATTAGAGCCTTTGGTCAAAGAAAATTAATTCAAAGGTAATCTAGACGTAAACGTGTATGTGCTTGTTGTCTGTATGAAGTTTACGTCAGAAACTGTAAGAGAATGATCAAGAACAGATTTTCAAGATTCAAGTAGAATAAAATTCTGTGGAAGCAGCAGAAAGGAAATACAAATTTAAGGAGATATTTTACTTTAGAAGAACAATAGTAATAATTCAGTATGTTATTAATATTACATAGGATACATTTAAAAGACTGGTTTAAATTTTATTTTAAAGCATCAATACTTATAATACAGCAAAATTGCATACTTTAGTTACATAAAAGTTATGAAAATTTTCATATAATTTAAATATGCACAAGGTATTACTTGTCAAAATTATTTTAGGGGACATATGAACAAAAATGCTTGAAGACCGCCACTTTATATCCTGCTCTCTAAAGGACAGAATATCTGAGTTTTAGACAGATTAGATTTTTGGTGAGAAAATTTCACTCTTTCTGTTCCAATGAGAACTTACATTTTTCTTTTACCTTGTACTGAAGTGTCTGAAAGTGTGTTTACATTTTCTAATGTTTAAAAATATGTGGTTTTGGCCTTAACAACTAGTCACTTGATGACATTTTGGAGAAGTTGCAAGGAAATGAATATGGACAAGTACATCGTTAAACTACTCAAATGTTTTACCTGGAAATAACGAGCATTTGGTGCAGTAAATACTTGAGTATACTCGAGTGTTCCTGCTTGAAATCTGCCATTACAAATGCTTGAATGCTACTGGATCTTCTGGTGAACCAGTATCATTTTTCTAAGGACAGAAATGTCCCTGATTAAGTGCAAATTTTAGTGTCTTTAAGCTATGACTGTGAAATAGTTGGTAGAAAATAGAAGGAAAGGTTTCATAATTTTTTTACTTCTTTACTAATTGAGCCATTTAATTTTTAAATGTTTGTATTAGTAAGATAATCATACTTAAAATGGAAACTTTTGATCTATTTTTTTTCTTGATATAGTATAAACCAGTCTTGTTACTTTAGAGTGTAACTTGTAGAGGGTATTTACACATAAAAGTTCATATAATTAAATTGAGATGAATATAGTTTAGAACTATATCGCTAACTTTTTTTGTTTTTTCTCATTTTTGCCAGGGTATTGTTGAAGCTGTGATCAGGGGATTGTAATACATATATCTAAATATAGTTAACACAGATTAAGTGAGTTGTTACATGACATTTTTAATTCATTCTGATGTTAGAAAGAGACACACAACTACAGACTTTAGTTGTGAGTTAAATGTTAAACTATTTACCAAGAACAAAAAATTCTAAATTTACTTGTTTTACTTTAGAATTCAATCAATAAAATTATATATTTATAAATATTGCTATAACAACATAACCTAATGTTTTTGAAAATGTTCATGATAAGCCTGTTTTTCCCACTTACATATTTGATAAAAATTTTTTTTTCAGCTTTAACACTTATAACTTTTAGAAGAGAGTAGTTCTTTAAATTATAGATGATTCATTCTTTTTTGGTTTATGTTGTCTTTGCTATAATAAAAACATCAATATCTATATATTATTGTCATGATTTTTTTTGACTTATATCAACTTTGTTCATGTATTTTCTTAAATTAAGCTGAATTACAATTATTTTGAAAATGAAACATTTTCTTGTCAATGAAACAATGTCAGTCAAAATAGTGTTATGACTCATCCTATAATTTAATCTCATGCTCTCAAAGTTAAAATTTTAAGTTCAGGTTAAATAGAAAGGCTTTGTTCAAGAATATTGTGGGAGAGGGAATAAAACAGAATTACATAAATTCAGATTAAATAATGATGAAGGTACATTAAAATAAACACCTGAAAAGAAACCCAGAAACAATTAAAAACAACTAAACTGTCAAGGGAAGAAATGAAAAACAAACACATCAAAGGCAATAAATATTATATGAAACATATAATTTCTCAACATTTTTGAAAGGACCATACAGCAAGTGCTATCTTCCAAACTGCTTTGAGCACACAATCAGTTATATTAATATATCACAAAGAAATGGTATTACAGGGGAATAAATGAGAGCTCATGTACAAGGACTATGGAAAGGTATTTAGAGACAAATTTTTAAGGATGTGACCATCAGTAGCTTCAACTAAACATGCCTTAAACTTAACCAGTTGATTAGAATTCCCCCGGCTTAGAAAACTGATTTTTGTTTCCTGAGTCCAATATAGGGAGCCTGTGATCAGGTGCCAGAAAACATATAGGGATGTTATCTGGTGCTGAAAAAGATAACACATACATTTGAAAACAAATATGTATTAAAAGTTTAGTAAGGATTTCTCAGGGAGACCTGTTTTGTGCATTTGGCTGGGCACAATTGGCCAAAAGGAACATCACAGGATATATAAAAATGGCCTTGGAAGCAGACAGGAATGTTGGAATGGAAAAAGCATATTGGCTTGCTTAAAGTGTGGGCACTAAAGGAAAACAATTTAAGACTGAAAGAAGATCTGATTTTAGCTCCAGTTTAGATCTGACAGGAAAGGTACTAGGATTTATTGTCAATTTCCCAGTATGCTGAGTGAGACAACAGACTCAGGTCAAAGGATCTGAACATTATTTGCTGGGGATGGGGAAAGAATTCAGGTGGGGAAATTAGATAAATTGGAAGGACTGATGCTGAAGCTCCAATACTTTGGCCACCTGGTGTGAAGAACTGACTCACTGGAAAAGATCCTGATGCTGGGAAAGATTGGAGGAAGGAGAAGGGGATGACAGAGGATGAGATGGCTGGATGGCATCCTGACTTGATGGACATGAGTTTGAGCAAGCTCTGGGAGTTGGTGATGGACAGGGAAGCCTGGTGTGCTGCAGTCCATGGGGTCGCAGAGACTCGGATATGACTGAGTGACTGAACTGAACTGAAAGTACACAGTGTGTGTGTGCTCAGTTGGGGCCCACTTTGCAACCCCATGGACTGTAGCCCACCAGGTTCCTCTGTCCATGGAGTTTTGTTCCAGGCAAGAATACTGAAGCAGGTTGCCATTTGCTACTCCAGGGTATCTTCCCAATGGAGGGACTGAACTGAGTCTTTTGCATCTTCTTCACTGGCAGGCGGATTCTTTAGCACTGGGCTACCTGGAAGCCGCAAAGTATAAAGTACACACTAGATTATACAAATCAACAGTGGTTTCTGCATATATGGTAAAAGGTAAAACCAGAGATAAAAAATAGGTAAGACTAAGTAATTCCATGGCAGTTTCTGCCCTATGTCTAAAATTGTGGTGGTTCTGTAACTCTTCAAACGTTCAGAAAAGACAAGAATTGAAGAAAGAAATAGGGTAGAAAAAGAATACAGAACAGTTGACCCTTAGCAAGAAAATAACAACACCTCAATTACTTAAAAATGGGAGGCTATGACTCAATAGTGATTATATGCTTTAACAGCCAAAGCTCACACAAATTCTTTTTTTTTTTTAATTGAAGTATAGCAATTCACAGTGTTGTGTTAGTTTCAAGTGTACACATATTATTTTTATCAGTAGCTTTAGGCTGCAATTACAGCTTAAATGGGCTTCCCTGGTGGCTCTGACGGTAAAGAACTCGTCTGCAATGCGGGAGACCTGCGTTTGATCCAAGAGTTGGGAAGATTCCCCTGGAGAGGGGAAAAGTTACCCACTCCAGTATTCTTACCTGGAGAATTCCATGGAAAGAGGAGCCTGGCAGGTTACAGTCCATGGGGTCGCAAACCGCTTAAATGAGTTGTTTTAAAGTTCTAAAACAAACAGAATTAACAAAATCTCTCCTACCCTGAAATTGCTCCAGGGGTCTCCAAACCCCAAAGGCACAAAGGAAGGTTTGCAAGGACTGAAAAAATTTGTCGGTACCTTCGTTTGACCAACGGGCGCCAGCCTACCAAATCCTGTAAAGTACTTTTCCTTTCCACAATGTTGGGACTTTGGGGCTTACACAACACCCCATCCTTACGACCTCATTTGAATGGGCGCCCTTACCGGGCTGGTACTGAAACCTCGGTCGAGTTCCACCGCGACCGTCCGAGATCGTGGCCGGTCCTCGGAGCCCGTCCGGACCGAGGACACCTGAGGCTACGAGGCAGGGAACTGACAGTCGCGCCGCCGGCTGGGTCCCTGGGCAGGAAAGCCCAGAAGCAAATCCATCAGCTCCAACCCGGGTTTGGGCCCGCGACAACAGCTCTACCAGCAACCCCGACGTCCGCGCAGGCGTACGACGCCCGGTGATGCTAGGGCGACGCCGGAAGTGTCCCTTCGGCGCCCCGGATGCGACCGGGAGGCGGCGGTTGCCAGGGCGACGAGAGCTTCCAAGAGCCGCTGGTACTCGCGATCTGCAGCTTAGAAGAAGTTTCCCGTGGCGGGCTTTGACGGCTAGGGTCGTCCTCTCGGGGTTTTCAGGATGTTCTTTTACTTGAGCAAGAAAGTGAGTTTCCCAGGGTTCGCCCTCGCTCCTCCTCCGGTTTCTCAATCTGCAGGCGATTCCGGCATTCTGCCCGAGAGGCTATGCGTAGTGATCCAGGCTTCGCCATCCCTTCTTCCACCTTCCGGCGCGGTCCAGCCTCGGACTTCCTCTTGCGGGTCCCTGAGCCCACACAGTCCTTGGCGGAGGTAGCTCCTCTCTCGCAAGATTTTCCCATTCCTGCCCCTGGTTAGGTCCTTTGGCGGAGGCCCGCAGGGCAGATCACTGTGTGCGTCCCTATCTTTCCCTACTTCACCTGTTGCTTATCAGATGATTTAAACTCTTTGGATCATCACGGGCCGCTGTGCAGTAGAAAAGTAATAAAAAGGTAGGCAAAGTGTGTGTGGAAAGGGAATAAGGATTGGAGGTAGAGATTTATACCTCCGTTGCCTCCCCTGCCTTTTAAAAATCCATCAGGTCACCCTCATTTTTTTTTTTTTTCCCAGTCACTGCCCTTCTTCTGTGAGCAGTTCTTTGTCTCTTTCCCAAATCTGCCCCGGGCAGTTCAAGGGACTATAATCATTTTCGTAACGGTTCACATTTCTGCAAGACCGTTTCTTCTGCTGCCTTCATCTCCCGTAGACTCACTACCAACCCCTTCGTGAAAAGTTGTGAGTGGCTGTAGTTGCTTTTCAGGTTGCCGTGCCCAATAACGTGAAGCTGAAATGTGTATCTTGGAACAAGGACCAAGGATTCATAGCATGTGGTGGTGACGATGGATTACTGAAAGTTTTGAAATTGGAGACACAGACAGGTAAATGAATGCAAGCCCAGATATTTGAACATAAGCGAAAATCATTTGTTCAGAGAGATTTGCTTATGGTGTTTGTCAGTATGCAATTCTGAATTCTTTCAAAAGGAAAAAAAACTCCAACATTTTGGGGTGTTCTAGAATATTTTTGTAAGGAAGTTCAGAAAATATCGAATGTAAACTTCAGGTGGCTTTTGCTGAAATTATCGATGGCAAATGAAAATGAATGAAGAATGAGAACTAAGTCATTACATTGTCTTGTGCTATGTGTGTTGATTGTGCTGTATTATTAAGAGTCTAATAAAAATGACGTGAATCACCTTTTCAGTAAGGTCACAAAAATCTCACATTTTGGCAGCTTATTTACAGGCCTGTGTTGTCCTTTCTGCTTTTCAGATATGTTAATAATTATGCACCTAGTTCTCAAGAACAGAACATGGGATTTAAAAAAAGTTGTTTTATTAAGAAGTCTCTTGTGTTTTACAGCTTGATTTCTCTTTTTCTAGTTCTGTGGAATCATAGCACACAGTTTCACATTTCTTTGTTATCTAGTGTTGCTCTAGGTTGGAGAGCTAGATAATCCCTAATCCAAATAGGAGATCTGGATAAGGAGATTGGAATCAGAACCTTGGCACTGCTGTAAGACTTCTGAATGTATTTCAGCAAGTTTCTGAACATCTTTGATTTTAGTCCAGTCTTTTGTAAAATGAGGGGTTGAACTAAGTAACATTTTGGATTTCTTACCAGCATTGCTTCTCAAGCTTTATTAGATACAGGAATCACCTGCAGAGGTTGTTAAAATGGATTTTTGGACTTAGCCCCAGAGTAGAACTGGAATGGGGTCTGAGAATTTGCATTTGTAGTGATACTGGTGTTGCTGGTTCGCAGACCACACTTTGAGTAACACTGTTTTACAGCTTTGAAGTGATAGTTGTAAATATTATTGAGCACTTTGTGTATCTGGGGTGTTTAAACTTCACTGTCTAATTTGACCTCACAGTAATCTTGCGAGGTAGATATTTCAGATGAGACAACTGAGGGTGCTGATCAATGAATAACCTGCCCAAGGCCACATGGGAAATAAGCGACACAGCTGAGATTTTAATAAAAGGAATAGAAAAGAATTTTTCTTCAGCCAAATGGAGAACTGTAGCCGGGGAGGCAGCCTCTCAGATGATTCTGAGAAACTATTCCAAAGAAGATGGTTTTTAGCATGGTTTTATCTGTTGTCCGAACAAAGAATCTCAAACATAACAGGGAGGGTGCATTCTTTTGAGGAATTTTATTTGCTTCCTACGCAGTGAGTCAGTGTGACTTTGGCTCCTGGGAAGGGAGCCTCATCATTGAAGGAGTACTAGCATTGATGTCCCAGGAAGGGCGACATGGATCTCTGTCTTTAGAGTGGACATTCTTTACTTCTGGACAATGCATACTGTTCTTTGATGGTTAAAGTGGATATACAAGATATGTTTGATAGCCTAAAAAACAGACTGTTCTAGTTAGCATGAAGTTTAAGTTAAATAATATATAAACCATTTTGGCTTTCCCATACCGCAGTATGTGAAAATTTCTTCTGTCAAAACTTAGTTTGTCTCAATTTCAAGCCTCATTTTTAATGGCCTAAGTAAAGAGAGAATAGTTATTTTGATGTGCTAGATTAATTATATGAAATAAAAAGCAGATTTGGAAGGTAGAGACTTATGTACCAATTTGAATTTGTCTTCTGTTGCTTAGTGATTTAATCTCTCAATGCTTTAGCTATCTTAACTGTCTTAAAGGAAAATAACTTTTGTCTCTGTTACATTTCTCAAATACTTATAAGTATATGCACATATGTGCATGTACCTATACATATTTTTATTTTGCCTAAAATATGTAGGAAGTTTTAGTTACATTAATAAATGGATTTATTATGCTTAATATTGAAGGCTTGTCAAGAAAAATTATTTCTTTTCCTTTTTTACACTTCTGATGAAATGTGGTTAGAATATTCTTTGAAATGTGTGAGAAAGATGAAAAATAGATTCTTGAATGATTGGAATATGGAGTTAATTATTTGTTTTAAAATTTAATAATGGGTATAAATCATGTTGAAAGAGAGAAATATGAGAAATATGGCTGGATGAGTCTTAAAAGATCAATCTATTGTATCACAACTATTATTGTTAAATACGATAGTAATAAAGTTACTATTACTCCAGTAATCATCACCAGATATTGATTGCTGAGTACATTTGAAGCACTGTGATATGCTAAAGATGTGGCTTTGTGAGTGCCATTTTGGTGTTTAGCTACAGGATAGTTAAATTATTATCATTCTTACATATAGTATAACAGTCCTCTACATCAGTAAAATACCTACTATAGCATTATTTTAATGGCTGTTTAGTATTCCATTTTGTTGATATATATAATGGTTTATGTGTCCAGTTCCAGTGTTGGATATTTAGATGTATCCACATAAATTGTTTGCAACAGTATCTTCATATCTAAAGATATTTGTTAAAGATGTTTCTTTGCATAAACCTTTAATTACTTTCTAGTATACAGTTCTAGAGGTGGAATTTACTGGATCAAAGTTCATGTAGATTTATAAAGGTCATTCATATGTTTAGCCAGTTTACCTTCTAGAAAGCTTGCATTGCTTTGCATTCCCTGTAATGGTATTCCCAGTTTTCACTCTCTTACTTTAGAAGGAAAGGAACTATTAGAACTGATAGAACCAGTGTTTGCCCCCAGCTTTTTACCTCAGGTTAAGATGGGGAGGTGGGTAGTCTTTTCTCACAGACTACCTTCCACAGGTTTTGCTGGAGCCCACCTCCTCTCACCTTTTCAGGGCCCTTATTCTTTTTTATTCTCTCTCTCTCTCTCCTTTGAGTATCAGTCTGCTTTCTCCCTCTTTTCTCTCCCTTGCCAGCCAGTTTCATGTTACAAATCTAATGGGCAGCTTTTTTTTTTTTTTTGGTCCTTATGCACATTTGACTGGTTCTTGAACTGTTATTTTTTCAAGACAAAAAGAGAATTGCAATGTTTTAAATTATTGTTATATTTATACATATTGCTATCCCCTCCTTTATTTACTTATACATTCTCAGTCTCTTTTGCCAGATTCTCCTCTAACTGTTGGAATTCCTGAGAACTTGCTTCTGGGCTCTTTTCATTTTACATTCTCTTTAGACTTATTCTTTCATTCCCATGGCTTTAAATGCCCTCTGTGGAATGACGATCCCTAAATATATCTCTCCGGCCCAGTTCTGATTTATCAGACTTGGACAGCTCCTCAAGAATATTTCCACAGGCATCTCATGCTGAACTCTTGACCTTCTCCTGTATATCTTCTCTCAGTTGTCTCTGTTTCAGTAAATATCTTAAATTTCACCCATTTGCTCAAGCTGGAAGCTCACTTCTTCCCCCCTTCACATCACCTTCATCAACAACCTTATGCTTCTGTCTCCAGAGTATCGAATCCATCTGTCCCCTTTGTCCCCTTCCACTGCTCTAGTCCCAGCCACTATCATCTCTCACCTCGACTGGCTGAGAATCAGCTTCATGGTTTCTTGCCTCTTTCTCGTGTGATCTAAAAAAAAAACCCAAAAAGAACCAGGTCATGTCGTTTCCTTTCTAACGATCTTTAAAGGGACGCCAGCCAGCCTGGGCCAGAGTTGCTTGTGGTGGAATTCGAGGAGAAGGGCCCTGACTGGAGATGGCATCTCTTGCTTTTCCTGCCACTGCTGCAGAGGGCGCAGTCTACTCATCTTCATGAGAGGAAATATTGCCGGAAAGCAGGCATTTGGGTGAGAGAAGAAGTGTTGCAAGACCATCCAAACCACCTGTGTAGCTGTCTGCACAGCCCTTCAGAAACTGCAGGCAGTGGGAGTATCAGCTTTTTCATGTGCCCATGCAGTGAGACTGACACGTGAAGCTTCCTGCCTTTGTTCTAGGGGTGTTCATAATCCAGACCAACTCCATACCTAAAGAATGTGCTGTGAATCCAGGCTCCAGAAACAGCAGGTCAGGGACCCATAGCTGCACCCATGGATGTGTGCATAGTTACTTGCAGCCAGTCGTGCAGAGAAGCCAGGCAGCTGAGTGATCCTGCCCGGGAGTCTGTAGAGCCTATAGCAGCTCCTTCTCGGAATCCCACTATCTCTTCGGGTGTTGCAAAAACGTCTTCTTCACATTTCGATCCTGCTTGTCAAACTCACTGTGCAACACGTAACGCGAATTTCTCTTGCAGTTGGGCTGCTGACCACTTTTATGAATGCAAAATGCAAAAACTGATGTTTATGAACGTCAGCCGGGTTTTCCCAAGATGAAAGTGCTCAGAGACTTACTGGGCTCGGTTCCTGGTGTTCTGAGCAGGGTTTTCTGTTTTCCTCTGTTCTCTCTCTCATTCTCAGTGACTTTATTACCATTAATCTTTGTAAATCCTTTGGATCTTTTGAGCTTGTGGGAGATACTTTGGATGGTTGGAATTGCTGATTTCATTCCGAAATTTTCCTTCATGGGTTTCATATGCCTTCTTTTATTGATGCCTCCTTTCATCATGCTTTTCAAATCCAAGGGTTATTGATGCTTTGAGAAGAATTCTGTCAGTATTACCAGATGCTTGTTCCCGTGCCAGTTTGGTTTGTTTATTGGCTGTGGGGAGTTTAGTAATGTAACTCAGTGGAGTCTTGAAATCTTGGTGGCTATACTTGACCTCACTGAAAACTTTTGAGTTTTTTTCTTTTGGATATCTGAGCTTTCAGATAGATTTTGCGAATATTTTCTGCATAATAAAGTTCTGGAGTTACTGCTAGCAAAAGACAGTATTCAGATGTGGAAGCTGTTTGTTTTGTTCACTGTGTAAAGGAGAATTTAAAAAACTTGTTCTCGTGTGTCAGAATATGTTTTGTGAAGAGTCTACACTTGATGGTTTAACAAATAGAAAACATGTGTGCTATGCAGAATTTTGAATTCAGACCATGTAAGCCAATGGAAGGATGGAACTACTTCATCAAACTTTCAAATGTGTTGGGTCCTACAAACCCTTAGAATCATGTATCACTAATTTTACTTGATTATAGTGACTGTGACTATATGTATTAGAATGGATTTTCAGTGCTTTATGTTAAGAAATATGTTTTTATGAAATGTTTTTAGAACTAGAATAAGGCTTAAGTGGGTAGTACATTTTTAAAGAGATTCAACCGGTGAGAGAACCCACTATAAAAAAAACAAGGTTCAACCTAATGTGTACGTCAACAACATTTATTCTATCCTAATTGTTTGAGAGATGATTGTGAAGTTATATATGTGTATTCTTCTTCATGTTACCAAGACAGTTAGAACTGTCTAGATAGATAGAACCAATGGTTTTAGAGGAACTCAGATATTTTTTCCCTCTGAGATTGTTTTCAGAATAAAGAATATATTTCATAGTAATTTTAAGATACATGTTATCTGAAAGTAGAATTTTCTTCAGCATCAACTTATAAAAATTCCCACTCTTACAAATTCTTTTTCATAAATTAGTATTTTCATACTAATCAATAGATTTTCATAAATTAGTATTTTTAAATGAATGTTTCAAATGGGGTATTTTACATGTGACTGTCAGATTTTCTGGGAGAAGGAAATGGTAACCCACTCCAGTCCTCTTGCCTGGAAAATTCCATGGATGGAGGAGCCTGGTTGGCTACAGTCCATGGGGTTGCCAAGAGTCAGACATGACTGAGCAACTTCACTTTCTTTCTTTGTATAGTTCCTTTTGGAGGAGGAAATGGCAACCCACTCCAGTGTTCTTGCCTGGAGAATCCCATGGATGGAGGAGCCTGGTGGGCTATACTCTATGGGGTTGCAAAGAGTCGGACACGACTAAGCAACTAACACACACACACACACACACACACACACACGTACGTACGTCACATTTTCTAAGTGAAGATTCATTTTACTGAGAAGACATTTTATATTACTATATTCTTCTCTGTACTATGATTAGTAATCTAAGAGAAAAAGTCACTTCAAATAATAAACAGCCTTTAAAGGCTTACATTGCACTTTGGATAACATAAAAAATTTTCATAAAGACTTCAAATTTTTTCCTGTGCTTATTACTTCTGCCTCATCTTATGCCATTCTCCCTCATTCAACTATATAGGCCTTCTTTCAGTTTGCTAAAGGCTCTAAAATTCTACCCAGGGGCTATTGCATTTGCTGCATCCTAGCCTGAAATGCTTTCCGTAACTGGCTTGGCTTTTTCCAGTTTATCCCTTGGTCTCAGTTTAGATACCATTTCTTCAGAACTCCTTCCCTGGTTCTCCCTCCCTCCAATCTAAGTTAACTCCCCCTCTGTTTCCTATCTCTTATTATGCTTTTACTTTTCCCAGTTTATAATTTTATATATGATGGTGGTTTAGTTGCTAAATCATGTCTGCCTCTTGCGAACCTATGGACTGTAACTTGCCATCTCCTCTGTCCATGGGATTCTCAAGGCAAGAATACAGAAGTGGGTTGCCATTTCCTTCTCCAGGGGATCTTCCTGACCCAGGAATTGAACCCCAGTCTCCTGCATTGTAGGCAGATTCTTTACCAACTGAGCTACAAAGGAAGCACAATTTTATATATATGCATATATATTTATGTGGGTGTGTGAGTGTCTATTTAATATCTGTCCCCTCAGTAAACTATATGGAGAAGGCAATGGCACCCCACTCCAGTACTGTTGCCTGGAAAATCCTGTGGATGGAGAGGCCTGGTAGGCTGTAGTCCATGGGGTCGCTAAGAGTCGGAACACGACTAAGCAACTTCACTCTCACTTTTCGCTTTCCCGGCGTTGGAGAAGGAAATGGCAACCCGCTCCAGTGTTCTTGCTGGAGAATCCCAGGGACGGCAGAGCCTGGTGGTCTGACGTCTGTGGAGTGACACAGAGTTGGACATGACTGAAGTGACTTAGCAGCAGTAGCAGCAGTGGACTATAAGGTTTCTAGGGGGAAAGGCCTTTTTTTCATCATTTTGTATTCAGAACCTTCCACAGTGCATAGCAGAGTATAGACATTCAATAAATGTTTGTTGAGTGAGTGAATGAATGAATGAATGAATATAAGATTCTGCAAAATCGGATAAAAACTAGTTTCCCAAATCTTTGCTTTTTGATCTCTTTTATGCTTTTAGAGTTTTCAATTTAAAATAATAAATACTTCTTTTTTGTTGTCTTTCGGGAAGGAATAAATAGCAATAATAATTACTAATTATATTTAATATGCTAAGTAAAGTGTTCTTTTATACATTTTGCTTTATTTCACCAGAATAATATCTTGCAAGAGGGTACATGTTTGTCCATGTTTCCACCATGAGAAAAATAGGTCAGAATAAGGCATTCTTTAAAAAATTATTCTCATATTATTTAGGAATAGGGAAAAAAGCAAGAAATGTCTAAATCTTATAATCTGTCACTTTTGTATATTTGCCATAGTATGTTTTGTTTTTGTTTTTTCAGATGATACAAAATTGAGGGGTCTTGCAGCCCCTAGTAACCTTTCTATGAATCAGACTCTCGAAGGTCATAGTGGTGAGTCATGTAAATTTTTAAATCATATTTCAATAGTATTTTTAGGTATTTAGAACCACTTGTGTGTGTACGCTTAGTTGCTCAGCCGTGTCTGACTCTTTGCGGCCCCATGGATTGGAGCCTGTCAGGTTCCTCTGTCCATGCGATTTTTTAGGCAGGAATACTAGAGTGGTGCCATTTTCTTCACCAGAAGAAATCTTCCCGACCTCGGGATCCAACCAGAGTCTCCTGGAGCCAAGGAGTCCAATCCACATTGCAGGTGGTTTCTTTACCCACTGAGCCATCGGGGAAGCCTTAGAAATGACCTGTGCGTGCGTGCTAAGTCGCTTCAGTCATGTCTGACTCTGCAACCCCATGGACTGTAGCCTACCAGGCTCCTCTGTCCATGGGATTCTCCAGGCAAGAATACTGGAGTGGGTTGCCATGCCCTTCTCCAAGAAATGACTTACTTAATTGCAAAAATGTCATTGTTTAAAAATGATGGTCTTATTTAAAATAATCATTTCTGTTTAGCCATAATTATGCAAAAATGTCATCATTTTAAACAATGGTCTCATTTAAAGTAATCATTTCTGTTTAGTCATAATTTACATGGCCTAGAGTAATTCAACAACTTTCACATGATTAAATAGCATCTTCAATAGGTATGAAAAAAGTAGCTATTATTTTATATATTAAAAATACTATCTGTCTATGGATAGGATATCCTCCTTTTTAAGAGTCTGTTTTATGGTCCCAGATTAATATAGACTGAAGAGACATGACACCTGAATGTACTGGATGATGCCAGACTAGATCTTGAAATGAGAAAAACAGCTATCTATTTAGGACATTATTTGGACATTTGATAAAACTTAAATGTGGACTGTGGGTTGGAGATAATAGTGTATGTGTTAAAATTTCTAATTTGTAAAACGGTTTTGAAAGAGAATGCCCTTGTTCTTAGGAAATATACAATAAAGTATTCAGGGATTAAAAAACTAAAAAAAAAAAATTTGTTCATATAACCCAGAGGTTTAAGATATGCTCAAGAGTGTGTTACTAATAGAATAGAAAACAAGGTGTGGCGCAAGGGGAGAGATTCAGAGACATCTCTTTGACAAATACCACCCCCTCAAAAGAAAAAAAACAAGTACTTAGTATGATGTCCTTTGGGCATCATAGTCCTTGGGAGTCAGGCAAATTGGGTAAATCTTACTTACATTTGTTTCTATCACCAGATCTATGGCAACTCTTATAGCTGATCCTAATTGGCCCCTTGGAAGGAAAGTTATGACCAAGCTAGACAGCATATTAAAAAGCAGAGACATTACTTTGCCAACAAAGGTCCGTCTAGTCAAGGCTATGATTTTTCCAGTGGTCATGTATGGATGTGAGAGTTGGACTGTGAAGAAAGCTGAGCACTGAAGAATTGATGCTTTTGAACTGTGGTTGTTGGAGAAGACTCTTGAGAGTCCCTTGGACTGCACGGAGATTCAACCAGTCCATCCTGAAGGAGATCAGTCCTGGGTGTTCATTGGAAGGACTGATGCTGAGGCTGAAACTCCAGTACTTTGGCCATCTCAAGGGAAGAGTTGACTCATTGGAAAAAACCCTGATGCTGGGAGGGATTGGGGGCAGGAGGAGAAGGGGACGACAGAGGATGAGATGGCTGGATGGCATCACCGACTTGATGAACTTGAGTTTGAGTAAACTCTGGGAGTTGGTGATGGACAGGGAGGCCTGGCGTGCTGTGATTCATGGGGTTGCAAAGAGTCAGACACGACTGAGCGACTGAACTGAACTGAACTGAACTGAATTGGTCCCTTAGCTGGCATAAAATAGGAATACACATGAAAATTAGTATTAGGCATTGTTGTAGAAACAGGTGATAATAGTAACTGTGTTCTGTGAACATTTTTGAGTAATATTAGACCGGTTAGTTGCCCAGAAACAGTACTGATTTTAACATACTCTCGGTATTATAAAAATACAAATTTGAAGTTAATTGTAGCTTCTTTTTGTTTTTTTTAGCGTCTAAACTGTTTTTATACATTTTTAGGTTCTGTTCAAGTCGTAATATGGAATGAACAATATCAGAAGTTGACTACCAGTGACGAAAATGGGCTTATTATTGTTTGGATGTTATATAAAGGTATATTAGGACAGCTTATTTAATCTTCCACAGGTTGGAGTTTGGATTACAGTAGTTGAACAGAGAAATAACATCTTTGAAATAGACCCTTTTTACCTAGCAGTAGGAGTTCATGGGGGTGATATTTCCAGATTTATGGATTCCTACTTTTACCTTTAACCTTATTTCTTTTGAACTGTGACCATGAATTAAGAAAGTGAATTATGTGACTGTTGGTTATCTTCAAACTGGGCTTAGACTCTTGGCAGAATAGTTTCTGCTTGAGACAGCTCTCTTTTTCAAGTTTCCAATAAGAATTCGTTTCTCTGTGGCCAGTGACTGGAGTTAGTTTAGTAGATAAAAACACATTTATGAAGTTAAAAGCAATAATTCATTTCCTTTAATGAGTCAGTTAGCTTCCTTTTCCTTCATGGATATAGATTTTTATCTCAGCTCTGACTGCTGGCTCCCCGTTTGTGCCTTTTGCCCAGAGTTGAAAGAGTCAGAGAAAGATTAATTTAGGTGTATCACTGTTACCAGAAAAATAACTCATAATACATGTTCTCTTGAGGCCTGTAGGCATCATCTTTGAATGGAAAGGGTACCTTAGCTTCGTGTGTGGTTTTAAAAATGCTTAGGGTATATACCTTTAAAAAATTCTTAATTAAAATATGCTGTAGTACACAAACTCATCTGTTTATTTTTAAAGTTTATGTCTGTGTATATATGTATAGGGAGTAGAACATGAAAGTACACGAGTTTAGAGTAGGTCCTCTCTGAGCCTCAGTCTTGATCGGTAGTACCCTGTTCTGACTAGTTTTTCCATGTTACTTAATTACTTGCTTGGCTTTAGGCCAGAATTGTGTGTATGGGAATGTAATAAAGCCTTTTAAAGAACAAAAAGAAAACAAAATAGCTTTGTGATATGCCTTACATTTGGTTATACCTTGAGACAAGTCACATCTCACTTCAACCCTATGTAGAGAAATACAAGAACGTTTTTGTCACTCAGGTTTAGTGATGTTATATCACTAATGTGATGTGAACTTAAAATTTTTTTCAGTCTTCTAGTTTTTACACAATATGCTTACATTTAACATGCCTACAATTAATCATTGGAGAGTTAGGTGTACTTATGAAGTAACTGTGGTTATTCTGTTTTTTGCTTGGTTACCATGTGAGGTGCACTCAAGAGTGGGAAAAATCAGTCTTTGAGAAAAATCACTCATTTTGGCCCTTTGGAAGCAAATTAAGTTTTATTTTTTAATTAATAGAAAAAAGAGAAAGGATAGGCATTTATTGTGTTTTCTGTGATAATATTTGAAGCAATTACTAGTTCTTGTTCTGTTGGATTTGAAGATTTTGTAGTTTTAATGTCTTAGGTTGTGGAAAACTTTGCAGTTATTTGTCCCATGGTCTGTTTTATGGAAAGTTTCCAACTCTGAAGTACAATTTATCAGATGTGAAAGTTTTGACTTGCCATTTGTTTTCCTTTGTGAATACAGGCTCTTGGTATGAGGAGATGATCAACAACAGAAATAAGTCAGTGGTTCGAAGCATGAGCTGGAATGCTGATGGACAGAAGATCTGCATTGTATATGAGGATGGGGCTGTGATCGTTGGTTCGGTGGATGGTAATGCATTTTGTACCTGGAGCTAAGGTTAAGATTTAGCTGAAGTTTTGATATTTAGAGGTTTAAATGTTATCATATATTAGCATTCTGACAGAAAAATAAATATAAAAAGAGAAAATAATTGCTGTACAATATGATGACATTTAAGAATCACTTATTTTAAGTCTTATTGTTTAGTCAGTAAGTCGTGTCTGACTCTTTGTGACTCCATGGACTGTAGCTCACCAGGCTCCTTTGTCCATGGGATTTCCCAGGCAAGAACACTGGAGTGGGTTGCCATTTCCTTCTCCAGGGGATCTTCCTGACCCAGGGACTGAACCTGTGTCTCCTGCATTGGTAGTCAGAGGGACTAGATCAGAGAATAGGTAGAGGGATTCACTTTAGATTGGTGTCTGGTTGGGGACATACCTCTTCCTTTGTATTGGGGGCAAAGCAGAAAGAGTAAGTGTGGATTCACTTATTTTCTGAATGTCTGAAAGTGGGGGTGGGGGATTTTTTTTTGGAAAGCTTTTATTTACTTTCCAAAGTAAAAGGTGAATTCTTCTGCTAATTGGGAGTAAGGTCCTGAGTCAGAATTTAGAAGAGAAGGGAGAGAGTTGGAAACAGCTGCTATTTCAAATGCTTAGTAGAGTGTTTGGCACATAGTAGGTGCTCAGTGAATATCTAATGACTGAATAAATTAAACAACTGAATGCTGTGAAGAATGTGAGAGCCCTTTAGGGAAACAAAGATTTCTAGAGCAGTTGTTAGAGAATCGTGACCTTGACATTTTAATGAAATAGAGAATCGTGACCTTGACATTTTAATGAAATAATTATGTTTTATGTTTGTTTTAGGGAACCGCATTTGGGGAAAAGACCTGAAGGGTGTGCAGTTATGCCATGTAGCATGGTCCGCAGATAGTAAAGTCTTACTTTTTGGAATGGCCAATGGAGAGATACACATTTATGATAATCAAGGAAATTTTATTGTAAGTGTATATATACTTTTATTTTTACAACTTTGTATGCTTATTTTATATATCATTTTTATATGTTTACACACATTTATTTATTATGATAATTTGTGTAATCAAGATAGTCTTTAATTCAGGTTTTTTTTTCCTTTGTTTGTTTTATTAAGAAAACATTGTGTTGCTTCAAGGTAAATTAGTGTTTTTAGTTCTGATTTTCTGGTAGCTGGAAGGATAAAACTGCAGTGTGTTGAAACTGAGGAATGATGGGTAGGATGATGTGAAGTTAACCTTTATGTCTTCTAATACCCAAAGCCGAAGTTTACATGAGATATTTTTTGTAGCAAGGTATTAAAGCTTGTGAAAAGGATGGCAGGCTTATACAGTAAGGGACAAAAATCAGGTCCTGGAAAGAAGGCAAAATAGAATAGGCTAGGATAGAATCTCAAGGAAAGCTCTGGCTTTGTGAGATTTAGCTATGGCAGATCTCTGACCTTACTTATGGAGCGACTTGTTTTTAGTCAGGGTCAAGACATCACATGAATCCACTCAGTGGAAGTGATAGTAACCAATATCTACATGACACTTTGCTATTTTCAAAGCACTTTTGTATATCTTTGATCATTTGAGTCTCACAAAACTCTGTGAACTTTTTTTTACTTTTTGTTTTAAATCCTCAATTTACAAATTAGGAAAACTGAAACTCAGGTGAAGTGATTCGTCCATGGTTGGTGAATCAATAAGTGATGGAGCTTGCATTCAAAACCAGATTTTCACATTTCAGTGTTCCTTCTATAATAATACTCTATTCACACTAATGATACTACTGTTTTCAAATATAAAATACTAGCACACTGATTTTATTTAGATGAAAATGAAGCTGAACTGTTTAGTGAACGTCACTGGAGCCGTCAGCATTGCTGGGATTCATTGGTACCATGGTGCAGAGGGTTACGTGGAGCCAGATTGCCCCTGCCTCGCCATCTGCTTTGACAATGGGAGATGCCAAATAATGAGACATGAGAATGACCAAAGTATGTAATTTTTCTTTTTTTTTTTAAATGTGCAGAATTAAAAAAATATTTTAAAAAATTGTGCTTAAGATTGTAAAAAGTTCTCTCGGCTAAATATTTTACCATTCATTCTTTTTTTTTGGACTAGATCCTGTTTTAATTGATACTGGCATGTATGTAGTAAGTATCCAGTGGAACCACACTGGCAGCGTCTTAGCAGTGGCAGGCTCCCAGAAGGTCATCACTCAGGATAAAGATATAAACATTGTGCAATTTTATACTCCATTTGGTGAGGTAAATGTCTCATTAAAGATTTTGTCTTTCTTTCCATTTAAATATGCAGTGAATAAGATAGGGGAAAAAAAGAATGGAGGAAGGGGTATACACTTGTCACTTTTTTTTGAAGGGGACATTTTAAATAAAAATGATCAACTATCAGGTGTATTTCTTTGATTAATATCCTCGTATTATAAGCCTTCATTTTATCGTGGAATTTATTTTATAGTCTTTACATTTAGAAAACCACATGTTTCATGTAAAATCACTGGGGAATAGTTATTGAGAATATTTTCTCTGTAATATGCATATGCATCTTTTTCACAGGTGGTTTTTGAGTTGTTTTTAGTGTAATTTAGTAGTTTCAGATTAATTTTAGGGGGTTTTAATATGATATATTAAATGTGAATATTAAATATACATATCAGTCTGTCCTTCTCCCAAACTTCTGTTTCAATTTGTTGTGAAATAATTGCTTATTTTAAGAAAATCTATCTTAAGAATGAATCTTAGGTGTTACTACATTAAAAATAAATATATTTTAAAAAATAAATACTATCCTCAGTATTATTATTAATAAATTTAATTTTCAAAGAGAGGTTTCTTAAAGCAGTAGTAAATATCAAATAGGAGAATTAATATGTTATGCACTTTAAATAATTTAGAAAGTGAGAACTTAGTAACTAATATTAATAAGTTTTTACATATTTTATTTTCTAAACTTAGACTATATTCAGTTTCTTTTGGATATCTGTTGGTTTTTATAAATTCACCAAAAACTTCAATAATTTCTATTTTTGGCTATACCAAAGTCTGTACCAGTTGTTTTTACTATGTTAGTTTTTTTTTTCTGTATTTTAATAACTTCTGTTGGGGTAAACAGTGGTGTCAGATGATGCTGAAAGTTACCTAGTAGAATGTTCTCTCGAGAGTAGGTGGTCTCTGTTCATTATCAGCTAATAATATTTCTGGTAGATGCTAAAAGCTAAGGAAAAACAAAAGCACAGTTCTCAAGTTTCCTAAATAATTAAAAATCTGAATTCTAGTTATCTCAGTGTTGATAGCTTTCTTTTAATTTCATGTTCTTTGTTTGTTATTTCTATCTGTTGCCATTGGCTTATTTATCACTTTATTTTATCAGCTTATTTTTGTTAGTTCAGTCTTCTCTAGGTATGATAACATGCATTCAAAGGCCCATATGCTTTATCTTGCAAATCACCATGGTATGTGTTAAATTGAAAACTGTAAGTGGCTTTTGGTATAGTTGTAATTAAAAATATCTAGCCTAGTCCTTGGGGTATTTGGTCACTTAATATTTTTTGAATAAGTGAATATATGAGATATTTATTTTTGGATCTATGTTATTAGGAAGAACTTGGAAGGAACTTAACTAGAGATGTCAACTTAAGGAAAACCTCAGGGAAGAATTCACTTTTGATTCTGAGGGCTAGGCTCTTCTGGTCTTTTCGGTGTGGTCTTACTTAGCTATGGGAGGGGCTAACAGAGCGTGGGGTTTGTAGTCTGGCCCTGGCTTTGGCTTTGAACTCTGTTTCTACAGAGCTGTTCCCCTCAGAGAAGTCACTTAACCTCTAAGACTCAGCTGTCTTATTTCCTCAAGCCTCTGCTGTAAACACTAAAGGAGGCAGCAGTGGGAAAACGCCTACCGCAGGGCTCAGAGAGTGCTCCCTAAAAGTCGGTTGTTTGTCCTTGCTGCTGCCACCGCCTGCCATGTTGGCAGAATGAGATGTCAGCCTTCTTCTCAGAGTGTGGGTGTCAGGACCAGGAGTCCTGTTGTGAGAGCCTGTTTGTTTCCTCTGGCTTCATACAGGCAGCAGGACAGATGGAGTGCACCCTCCTAGGTTAAAACTCCCCCCCTGCCCCCCATAGCATGCCATGGCAAAATGGAGTTTAATATATTAAATTTGATTTTAGAGCATATCTGCTTAAGAATGAGGGGTACCAGTATAATTTATTAAAATTCTGGGGAGTATACTGTTTTGTGAAATACACATAGATTAAAAATGTTTTCTTTCTATGGCCACATTAAAAAGATCTTTGTATTCATCTATTCCATTTTTTAATTTAACCTTTAAATATACTGTCAGTATACAAAGAAATTCATTTGATTACATTATACATTTATTTACTTGATAGATTTTTTTTTGTACTTGTTTACCAAAGAATCTATTAAGGGATAGGGAAATAAAAGTGAATATGAGCAAGTTAGTGCTGTCAAGAGCTCACTGTCTAAATTCCCTGGAACCACAGAGGGAGGCAAGAAGGCAGGAAGTAATATTTAAGATGTATCTTAAAGGGTGAATAGGAGCACTGCAGGAGGACAAGGAATAGTAGGAAGACTTGGGGGAAAGGATTTCAGGCAGAAGAGAGATTATATGGGCCAAAGGAATGGAGGCAGAGTAGTTCCCTCGTGAGGAGAACACGGAAACGATGGTTAACTTGTAGGGTATTGAGCCACAGAGTTTTGGGCAAATGGGGGAAAGGCATTGTATACGATTCCAGAGAATGTGATGGTGGGTAGCTACTGATTTTGAAAAAGTATTAAACATTTTTAAAAGCAGACTAGGATATGATTGGATTGGTGTTCCAGAATGATAATCATGGTAGCAGGGATTGAATTGGAAGGGTGGGAATGAAAGAAGAAATAAAAGGTAAAACTTGTAGTTAGGAGGCTACTAGATAGTTCAGTCAAGAAAGAAGGCAGTTACGATGAAGGAAACGAGGGAAAGCAAAAGGCTGGGCATCTGGTGGCCCGAGGGTGGGTGGGGGCTGGGCTTAGGATTGAGTTTACTACTCCAGTATTTCATTGAATCTAAGATGCACAATTCTTTCCAACCCTAAATTGGAATGCATGTTAAAATCAAAGTTGTCCTATTTTAACTTGTAGCAATGTGTTTTTCTTTCCTAAGTTGGACATAAAAATAAAGATGCATATTTAAATCTCTGGCATCTTAGATTTGATGAAATTTGATACTGAATTCTTTGGCTATAGTTTGTTAATTTCTCCTATCATACATTTGTTTTTCATTATAAAAATGGAAGGAAAATGATTTGAAGTATGTAACAACCTTTCATAAAATAATTTTTGTACTGCTTTTGATCTCTGTGAAGTGATAGGTAGTATTTTATTTAATTGTGATACTTTAGGTTAAATATAATTATTTTTTTCAGCATCTGGGTACCTTGAAGGTTCCTGGAAAGCATATGTCTGCACTATCTTGGGAAGGAGGTGGACTGAAAATTGCACTGACTGTTGATTCTTTTATATATTTTGCAAATATTCGACCTGATTATAAGGTGAGTATTAAAAGCAGTTGTAAAAAAAAAAAGGTGTTTTTTATTATATAATTTTATTATAGTTGAAAGTATAGTCTCTGTATTTTGTATATATTCATAGCCACTTTGTTTTAGAAAGCAGCTGGAAGGAGGCTTTTCAGTGTGAACACCGTAGAATTAGTAAACTAGTAAACTTTTCTGGAATACTATATATAAAGAGTACCAAGTGTGCTAAGTGTGCCGTGTGCTTCCCGAAACAATAGTAAAGACAGTGTTAATAATGTTGACACTGAATATCAGTTTATCCAAAATTATGTATAAATTTGTCGGGAGAGGGAAAGCTCTTAAGTTCTGTAATCAATACACATATGATATGGAAAGCAAATCCAAAACAGTTTACAGCTAAAAGAGTTGTAAATGGCTACCCCGAGGAGGAAATTAGGCAGAGGGGGTCCTGCATTTTGTTTTTGTGTTAAATAAACCACGTAGAATTATTTGACTATAAACTATGTGCATATTGCTACTCTGATAAAAAAGAAATATAAAAAGTGTGGATGAGAGAAAAAAGGCAAAGCAACTGTCTTTGAATTTTGGTTTCAGGATTTGAAATTGAACTTCAGAAGGGATCACTCTTGCTGTTGTCCCCCACACGGCTGTTATTGACTATTGAAAAATCTGAAATTTTCACCACTGAAGCTTAAATCTTACAAATTAAAATGAGGAAAGTTAAGCCCAATTTGTTTTTGCAGTGCTTTTTTTTTTTTTAACTGTGTTTATTACTTTTAGACTTGTTATTTTAGTGAGAAGAGATATGAAGCTGAATATTCAGTCCCTGTCTTTTCTATTTCTAAAGGATTACTTTTGTCAGCACTGATAAACCACATACCTGCAATATTTCTAGAGGAAAAAAATATAATGATGTGACTTTCCCAATGTTAATTGCTATTTCTCTCATCCTTTCTCTTCCCTCCCAACTTCCCTCCTTCTGTTCCCTCCCTTTCTTCCTTCCTTTCTTCTTAGTGGGGTTATTGCTCAAACACCGTAGTTTATGCTTATACCAGACCTGATCGTCCAGAGTACTGTGTTACCTTTTGGGATACAAAAAACAATGACAAGTATGTTAAGTATGTGAAGAGTCTCATTTCTATTACTACCTGTGGCGACTTCTGCATTTTGGCCACAAAAGCTGATGAAAATCACCCTCAGGTAGGTGTTCCTTGATATCTTAAAACTTAGATGGGTTTAACTACTTGGCTGGATTGGGCTCTAGTTATCCATCTTCTCAAGCATAGCCTTTCTACTGGCAGGTACAGAAAGTATTGGTTCTATTGTCCAGGTCTGTCTAGACCTCTGTTTGGAGAGTTCTTTGACTCCATCGGTTCTCTGTCCCTTGATTTTTTTCTCTAATCAGTTAATCCATTGGCAGTTTATACTGACTGGTACTGAAGCTTTTTGTCTCTGAAATATATTTAAAATACCACAGTCCTTTTCCAATTTAAAATTCCATAAGTAAAAATGAAAAACCAGATGTCTAGTACAAAGGTTCAAGAAATTATGTAACAATGGCCATTTATAACAATTTGAGTAGTTTTGACATTTAGAAATGTACTTTTATGTGGAGTTATATTGCTTTAAAAGTTAATAACATAACATAAAATAAATAATATAAATAATGCCCTTAAAAAAAGTCTGCTAGTCGTTTAAATATTTGCAGAAGTATGCAAATTTTTCAAAAAAGGACTACCAGTGTCTTTGATAAATTATTTTATCCCACTAAAAAGCATAGAATTTTTAGTTGAAGGCAGCCATCTGAACAGTCACACTTGGCTCTGTTCTCTCCTGAAACTCACTGAAACAAAGGGAAAGGTATTTTTTAAAAAGCCACAAGCCTATAGGGTCCAGAAAGGGTGAGGAAACAGCAACATAATTTTGGAGTTTAGAGAGTAGGGGGATTAGTGGTAATTACCTTAGCAGACCCAGGAAAGTGGAATTCTGTCTCCATCAGTGGAGAAAGGAAAAAAGCAACCAGTTTGTATCACAGAATGCCAGAGACATGGGACTTGATGGTGGTACCTGGTAAGAGAAAGAGTATGCAGGAGAGTACTTTGGGGGAAAATAAAAAGGGTGTATAAAGAAGCAGATTTCTAGATTCCCCCCCTCTCTGAGCCTCTGAACAGCTGTGCTTCCCACTCCGAGGGAGACTAGTTTGCCCTCCAGAGAGGATACAAAGAGTCTCTGCATTGAGGGGCGCTAAGCATAGGGAAGGGTAGAGGGACTCTTGCTTAAAACAGGGCAGTTAAATGAATGCTACCCCAATCTTCTGTTCCCGCTTGGTTCCAGAACAGATTTCATGGGATTAGGAATCATACTAGCATTTGACTTGTCAGCTTAAAATACTTTGGAGAATTGCTTTCAAAATTCTGAAGGAAAATGTTTTCCCACCTTGAACTCCATACCTTAGGTAAACAATTCATTAAATATGAGGGTGGAATAAAGACATTTTTAGATGTACGAGATCACCAAAAATTTACCTTCTGAGCTTCCTTAACTTCGGAAGGGACTTCAGGATATGTTTAACCAAAATGAAAAACCAGGAAAGAGGAAGAAACAAGGTCACCTGATGACCACGGGGAGGAGTGGTTCCAGGTGACAGTTCTGCATATGCTGAGAGAGTGGATCACCAAAGGAGAGCAGGCCACGTGGCTCCAGAAGAAACTCAAAATGAAATTAATACAATATTTAATGTGGTTGAGCTCCTGAGGGGAGACATATGTAACTGGGAGATAATGGGGGACTTGAGTTAGTATTAAATACAGAGAAAACTAAGCAAAGAGAAAAATAAACAAAGGCAATTATCCACAACAGGAAAAGCAAAATATGTTTGAGAGGAAAATAAATCATGTTGTACCTGACTCAGCTGTGAACAGCATTTATGGAGTCAAAATAATGTAGTCACTGAATTTTTTAAAAATTAAAGTTATTTAAAAATTGAACTGTAATACCAGTGTAAGCCTTAAGTTCTGATATAACAAAGTTATAGTGAAAGATGGAGGGGTGAGAATGTGAGATGGAGGCTGGGCAAGAAAGGTGAAAGAGGGTCGCGTGTTTGGCTTTCCCAGTGGGTAGTGGTGTATGATGTCGCAAGTTGAAACAAAATGAAGCAAGAAGCAGCATTGTAAACACGTCACTTACACTTGTGGAGGTAAATATTGAAAGAGTGAATAACAGGAGCTGAAAGTAATTACTCTTGGGAGCAAGAAATGGGAAGTTGGGGGGATTTTGTAAGAAGTCTTATTTGGTTATTTAAACTATGAGCTGAGCATGTGAATGATAAGCTTGTAAAACACTTGTATTTTGTGGCAGTAAATAAGTTTAAGCAGTGGAAGAGTAAATCATAATATTTTATTATAATTTTTACTGTTTATGTTTATGAAATTAAAGTTTGAGACACTGAGAAAAGAAAACATCTGTGCATAAATAGAACATTGAGAATGGGCTTGTTTGAAAATATTATTCTAATCTGAAAAACATCTGTTAAAATAGTATTCTTAGTACTAGATATGGAGAAGATGACTAACAGCAAAAAATGAAATTATCATTATAATTATCTTATATAAACTATATGTTATGCTTGATTATTTTTCCTAATAGTAATCATTGATAATTATTTGTGTATATGTTAATCATTAGCATTTTAAGTTATTTAGAGTGGGTTGGATTATGTTTTTTTTCCTGAATTAACTGAATTTTTCTGAATTTCTCATGTCATTTATATATTGCTTCAAAGGAGGAGAACGAGATGGAAACATTTGGTGCAATGGTAACAAATTAAGTTAGCCTTTATATAGCTGGTTATAGGATAAAAATGAGTTTTGAATATAGCTGATCAGCAATTTAGAAATACAAATAATGAAATGTAGTCAGTGTACTTGTGTTTCTTAAATGGTCTCTTAGAAATCAGTGTTCCACTATATGTAGAAATCAGCCTTTGTTTAATTTTAGTTTATATTTCTTTACTTTTGTGCTATAGATTATCTTTGCTATTCTTTGTATTTAATTTTTATCAATTCTTTCAATGTTAGTGATACTTGAAAAAGAGATCAAAATGGTTTGTTAAGCATTATTTCTTTTATTGTGCATAAGCAGGGGTTTTGATACTTTCTATTTTATTTGTTCACAGTTTGTGCTAGTTCTGTGTAATTCTATTGGCACACCTATGGATCCCAAATACATTGATCTTGGTAAGGAAATGTTAATATTTACTCCATCTTTATTCAAGTCTTATTTGTAAACAAATTTTAAAATGTAACTGGTATTATTAACTAGGATGTTATTCTCTAAAACAAGGATGAGCATACTTCCTGGCATGCTCGGTTCAGGTTTGGTACCAGTCTATGCCTGTTGTAGTAAAATCATTAGTAATGTCCAGTTTCACTCTCAGAAGGCTCCTGCTTAGTACAATAATTATAAGTTTACTCTAGAATTCACAATAATCTCATGACTGCTATGCTGCCATTATTTGCTTTTAATGGGAAATATAATTGTTTGAGGATTGGTATCCAATGTGATGATTAGTATGTAATATGCTGAGGATTATAGAAAGAATTTTGCTCATGAAACCACTCTTATTACCAATAAACTGCTTGTAAATACCTCTCTTCCATAAATAACACTTTAGCTGCTTGTGGAAGAGAGTTTTCCCTGTCCAGATTTTTCTGATGAAATCAGTGTATTAATAGGAACAACATAAAAAATATTCCTGACTTTTTGTTTTCAGAAGACATTTGTTGCTTTAGATCTATCATTCCCTCTAATAGCTCTGAAAGTAACCTTAAAAGTTTCCAAATCTTATTCTTAATATTTTGTCAAAAGTTGTTAACAAATATTTTGTTGCCGTTTCACTATAACTTCCAAAATGATGTTTTTTAAGTATGCGAGTTTATTGGATATGGTGTTAGAAAAAATAGTAGGTTTCAAAAATTGAAAACTCATTGAATTATTGAATTATTTTTTCAATCTGAGAACTAGTCTTTTTTTTTTAGATTTCACATTGAGCCTTAACAATCAAATGTTAAACTCTGCCTTCTAAGTATTTTGCTAAGGACTTTGAGTGATACAAGCAAATGTAAAAAATACTTGGTGGTTTTGTTGCTAAGTCGTGTCCGACTCTTGTGACCCCATGGACTGTAGCCCACTGGCTTCTCTGTCCATGGAATTTTCCAGGCAAGAATACTGGAGTGGGTTGTCATTTCCTTCTCCAGAAGATCTTCCTGATCCAGGGATTGAACTGGGGTCTCCTGCATTGCAAGCGGATTCTTTACTTACTGAGCCACCAGTGAAAAATACTTAGCTGGTCTCAAAGATTTTATACTCTATGTTTAGGGTCTTGGTAGCTCATTTTTAAGCATTGAAATCTTTCAACTTCTTATGTTCACCATTAGGTTTGTTTATATGTTTCTCTATATTTATATATGTACATTAATGGTAATAGTCTTTGTAAATGTTAGTATTCTTTAGCTTAAAATTGTTGCAGACTCCTACCACATGAATATCTTCTATTTATTAAAAATGAGTCTTAAATGTAAAGGATAAATTATGTCAATCTTAAGATTATATGTTTTTTTCTTTTTAATATCAAAAGTTTTAATGTAGAATCATAAGGATGCTAGGGTTAGCTTCAAAGTAATTTTAATCACAGGCAGTCTGTGTTTTAATAAAGCCAGATGTAAATCCTTTACCTTCAAAAAATGGCAAATGCTTGAGGGCATGATTATTTGTATTTTTGGGTCTTGAAACTTTTTTATCTTGTGGTCTTGCTGGCTGAAATTTTAACAAGCAGTTCTTTCACTGGTCTGCAGTAAACCCAGCCAAAGACTCAACATTTTTGTTTCATACATATCCTGTAAAATTCCTTTTTAAAGTTTTTATGCCAAATTTTCCTGAGGACTGGAGGCTGAAGCAAAAAAAAAGTATTTAACTGATATTGTCCTCGGAAGTATAATTTTTGTCATCTATTCTTCCTGAAAGCCTCTGTAGAAACTTTGAAGAAGAACGTTGTATATTATTATATATTATACAAAGTTTAGTTCTGTTGTACTGTCCATATAAGAGCCAGATACCATTTGGGGGACCTCTTCTTTTGAACCCTCAATTCCTTCTGTGTGCTTCTGTCCAAAGTACTTACTCTGCACTGTGATTATTGATTTTCTTGTCTATTTTCCCTACAAGATTTTGAGCTTCCTAAAGATCTGTCTACATTGTTTCATATCTGTATCCCCACTACCTACCACTGTGCTTGCCCAGTAACAGATGTTTACTGAATGTATAAAAGTATTTAAAAGAGAATCTATTTATTTAACAAACGGCCAATGAGCATATACTATCTCAGGTACTGTACTGGGCATGAGGAGTAATGAGAAGTTAATTCTCACATTTCCTGTGGGATGTCTAAACAAAGAATTAAAATATAGTTCATCTATTGCTAGTGACTGTTTCTCCCTGCTGCGTCCTTGATATTGTGCAAGGTGCTGGCTGAGTGGATATCCGTGCATAAGGACATTAGGGACACTTTCTCTACTTAGAGAAGCTTTCATTTGAGCTGAGTTCTGAAGGATGGATATTTCTTTGAGTGACATGTAAAGAAGAAGAAACAGCATTTTCAGAGGAATGAAGGCATGAAAAGTGCCTGATAAGTACCAGTTGCCTGTGCCGCAGCCATAGTGGGGAGAGCACATAAGAGCTTTCTAATCTTGGCCTGTAGCTCATGCACTAAGTCTCCTGTATATGCCAGCGAGAGGTAATGATGAAAGTCGTTCAGTGCAGGTTCACTTTACCAGCTCTTTAAAAGGCTGAGAAATGAATAGGTAGGAAAGTGGGGGAACATTACGATGCAGACATTTATTTCAGGTCTCAGCATTAAAATATAATGTTACAAGCAGCTTTTACTTATATGTGAATTCCTAGATTGTTTTAAATTATTTTACATCGTTGCTTGGCTAGTAATTACTACTATTAGTGTTACAAGTTTCAATTAATTGAAGCAGAATTACTTTCTTTAACATTTTTTCCAGTAATCTTTACAGAGATTTCAAATTTTTTTTTCCAGATATTGAATAGTTGAGAAGGACATGGACTGCTTTTATCCTGGCTGTGTTTTTTTCCTAAAATATTGTATCTATTATAACATGGTCTTCTAACTTTTTCCTAGAGGCTTAGTTCCAGGAAACTTAAGAACTAAACCACCTGGATGAGATAGATAATAAATAAGGATCTAGCATAATTTATGTAGATAGGATTATCTATGCATATGAATTTGCCAAAATTACTGCCATAATGATTCAAAAGAACACATTTCATATATATTTTTGTTTTTTGTTGTATTGACTAGTGAATTTATATAGTTTTATTATAAAAAGCAAAAATGATAGCAACAACATCTAACTGTTATTAACCCTTAAGGAGAAACAGTCTGCCATAGTGGTTAAGAACACAGACTCTGGAACCAGATTGGCTGTGTTCGTGTCCTAGCTTCTATTGTTTTTCTAGTCGTGTGACTTCAGCGAGTTATTTAACCATTCCATCCTTCAGTTTCTTCATCTGCTAAGTGGGGATAATGATAGTGCCCACCTTACAGGGTAAGTATGAATTATATATGTGATACATTAATTATATACTAATGTAATTACATAACATACCTGACATAATTTTTAGAAATTCAGTAAATACTGGCATTTAAAATTACTATTATTAATTATGTATTCTGTGCCAGACACTATACTATGCTTATATTTATCTCTTAATCCTTCAAGTAGCTCTATAAGGTTGGTAATACTATTATCTTCAATTTACAGTAAACAGACCAAGGTTCAGCTGGAATAAGTAATTTATCTAAGGCCTCCATGGGGTCGCAGAGTCAGGCATGAATGAGCGACTGACCATGTACACAAACTTATAACAAGTGCTTGTGATTTGAATCCAAAGTTTGACTTGTGTGAACCACTAACATTTAAATTTTGAATTCAGCTAATAATAAACTTGCGATTATTTGGGCTGTATCAAAAAAAGGAAACATGCCTATAATTTTTAATTGTAGCTAAGCACTGGTTAAAAATGCTTTTATATGGTTAGGAAACACTGTACTTTTTTAGAAAGCAGTTAAGGTTTGTGAATTTACTTCATATCACACTAAAGACATAATAGTTATTTGTGTCAGAGTATCCATGGTAGAATTTACTGAATATTTAGCAGATATCTTATGATTTAGTGCAGACGGGATCAGCGAAAGCTGAGCAAAAGCTGGGCCTGGTCTACTCCTTCGTCTCCGGGCTTCCCCTGAATTGGGGCCTCTGCCACCATCCTCAGGACTGCCTTCCAACCAGATGTTCTTTATAGGAAGGCTTCTTGCTCCCTCTAGAGTTTGGTAGCAGTCGGTACACATTTTGAATAGAGAAATGACAATTGTAATGAAAAAAATTTTTTTTAATATAATTCAACTTACTGAGGTATTTAGCATATAAAAATTCTTGCATTTGAATCTCAACTTGTTTATCTATTCAATTAACACCATACCATCAGTCTAGTTTCTAATTTTTTGTTCAGTTCCTATTCTCTTACTGCCTTAAATGTCCTTTATTTGGACTGTGGCAAGAACCCCCTGGTGGCTCAGACAGTGAAGAATCTGCCTGCAGTGTGGGAGACATGGGTTTGATCCCTTAGAGAAGGGCATGGCAACCCACTCCAGTATTCTTGCCTGGAGAATCCCTGATGTACAGAGGAGCCTGGCGGGCTGCAGTCCATGGGGTCACAAAGAGTTGGACACAACTGAGTGACCAAACATAGTACACAGCATAAGAACTCCATAAATGGTAGCTGTTATTAACACTTTCCCATTATCCTGACTTTATTAATGATTACTTTGTACAGCGTTTGTGAATTGAAAAATGTATTTTGTACCATTTTAACTGTGAATTTAGAAATTAGGTACTAAAACCATCTTTTATGAGTTTTTTGTTTTTCTATGTTTTGTGTGAATGTGTGTATTTACTTTTATATTGTTTATTTTGTTTATTTTTGCCTGAATAACCTTGGGCAAGTTATTTTATACCTTTAATTCTCTGTTTCTTTATCTGTTTACGATGGATTTGATGACACTGTCTATTTCATCAAAGGGTACACAGTGGAAATTTAATTATTCACTAGGAAATGGAACAGATGAAAAGATGTTTAAGATAATATATTCTTAGTGGGAAGGAACTTTGAAGAATATCTTTTTCTAACTTAATGATGGGTGTATACCTAGGAGTGGAATTGCTAGGGCATATGATAATTCTATATTTACCATTCTGAAGAACTACCAAGCAGTTTCTCAAAGTGGATGCACCATTTTACATTCCTACCTTTTCTTCACATTTTTGCAAATATTCATTACTGTCTGACATCTTGATTCTAGCCATGCTAGTAGATGTGAAGTATTATTGTGATTTTGATTTGCATTTGCCTCATGGCTAATGATGTTGAGCCTCTTTTCATTTGCTTAGTGGCCATTTGTATATCTTCATTGGAGAAATGTCTATTCAGAAGTTTTGCTCAATTTTTAATTGGATAATAAATTATCCAATTTATTGTGATATATTATTGTTATAAGTGTTATTTGGACATTCTAGATCTAATTCCCTATCATATATTTGATTTTCAAATATTTTCTTCCTTTTGTGGATTGTCTTTCACTTTTTAGATGGTGTCCTTTGGAGCACAAATGTTTTAATTTTGATGAACTCTGGTTTATCTCCTTTTTTTCTTTTATTGCTTGCATTTTTGGTATCAAATTTAAGAAATCATTGCCTAACCCAATGTCACAAAGATTTACACATAAGTTTTGTTCTAAGAGTTTTGTAGTTAGGTCTTTGATCCCTTTTGAGTTGATATTTTTGTATGGTCCTACAGGCTTTTGACTCTTCTGATTTCTTAGACTGTGTTTGGAATATTCCGTCTGTAAAATAAGGGGTTAGACTCATGATCACTTAAGTCTTTGGTGCACAAACCTTTTGTGATTCTAATTGTAACCAAATTGTCTTTCTGGTCTTTTTAATAGTGCCATTATTTGTTACAATGACCAAAACCCATGTGATAGCAGCTTCAAAAGAAGCATTTTATATCTGGCAATATCGTGTGGCAAAGAAGCTTACAGCATTGGAAATTAATCAGATCACCCGGTCTCGAAAAGAAGGGAGAGAAAGGTATATCTTTTAATGCACATTTTTTAGTGGCTCAACCATATCACATTTAAATCAGACATAGCTATTTATAAATTGTCATGCTTGAGAACCGTAAATACTTTTGATTATTTTTCCATTAATTTGAATATCTTTCAGATTTGTGTGTTTAAATGTTTAAATTAGTTTTACATTTGGCTGTACTGGGTCTTTGTTGCTATACTTGGGCTTTCTCAATTTGCGGCAAACAGGGGCTACTCTCTAATTGCAGTGCATGGGTTTCTCATTGCAGTGGCTTCTCTCGTTGTGGAGCACAGGCTCTAGGATTTGCAGACTCAGGAGTTGTGGCTCATGGGCTTAGTTGCCCCGTGGCATGTGGGATCTTTCTGGAACAGGGATCAAACCAGTGTCCCCTGCACTGGCAGGTGGATTCTTAATGGACCGCCAGGGAAGCCCTGTGTGTTTAACGAGAAGTAGCATGTGGTATAATAAAAAAAGCCTTTAGAGATAAAGACTGGAAGCCTCTGTTTTCATAAGGAATGGCCATTCTCACTCATCTGCTCTCGCCATATTACAGTTGTAATGCTACAATGAAATGTGATTATTCAATTGAAATCGAAATGTCTAACCAAAACTTCATTCCTATGGGCTAGTGGTAGAGGTTTTTCTACAAAAGTGGGGTGATTCTGTTGTCATAATCATCACAGGAGAGGCAGGTCCTTAGACACAGATATGGAGAGAGTCTGTAGGTGGGCAGAATTAGTCCCTCACCTTCTTTCTCTTGCCTTGGATTCCAGGGGCTTGGGGGGTTGGAACTATTTCTTATAAGTGGGGGTAAAGATGACTCTACTACATGGAGAAATTAGGAGCCCTGATGGAGGGATTCTTTGTAGTAAGTATTGCCGTGCACTTGGTGTGTTTTGTAAGTTATGTTGTCTCTGTTAGTGATATTCCATGTTTCTTGCTCTTTTGTTGTTATCCTGAGCCTTTAAGCAAAGCATTTGGTTGAATAATTTTAACCTGATGATTAATGAGGGCACAGGCCTGTGTCAGTGGTCGTGGGCAGCAAGCAGACTTTTCAGAAATCTCAGGTTGCTTTTTTCAAATCATTTCCCTTCAAACATACTTGAGATCTTAATGCAGCCTTCCCTTCCTTTTATGACTCACTTGTGTACTAAGGTAGGTGATATAACCCCAGTAAAAGTATTTTGGATGTATGAATTCATGTGGAAGCAGAAAAAAAACCAAAACAGTTGAAAGAGAGTCTATGTTGTCTTCCCTGTACTCCTGAAAGATTCAGTGCAAATAACTTCTGGCCTCTTTGAGGAGAGCGTGTGGCAGTCATAGCAGTAATAACAAGAGACCTGGAGTTTGTGGGGAGAAGGTAGATCTTAGGACAAGGTTGGGGAAGAAAAGTCTAGCCTCTCCACGGAGTGAGTGTCCCCCGTGAACGAGCTAAAGCGATTCCGGTTTTTGTTTAGATAAAGAAGTCATCATTTCCTTATATTTCTGTCTGGAATATAATTGCTGGTTTTAATGACTTTGGGTCAGTTTTCTCTGAACTTCAGTTTCGTCATCTGTAAAATACAGCCGGCGATGGTGATAAGAGCCAGCACTGATTGAGTACTTCTTGTTACTTCTTGCGTGCCAGATACTGGTGCATCTTGTCAGTACTCATATTATTCCTGTTTCACAGGAAACAGACACAGAGGTGCCCAGCTGGTAAGCAGAGGTGGGACATACTGCCAGGTTTATCTAGCTCTGAGCCCCTTGACTCAAGGTTGGCCTTTCTTGTAGCACCCTACCTGTTTTAATAAAGGGATTTGGGTCAGGTGATCTCTTGAGAGACCTCCTATCTAATATTTGACTTTTACTTTGTGAAAACGAAGTAGAATTATTAACTGTATGTACTTAATGGAAATGTATTAAGTAGAAATATGGTTATCTCTAAATTGGTATACCTTCCCATGTTTCATACAGCTCTGTCACCTGTATTTATTTAACATTCGATCTCCTTATTATATTGATGAAAATACAAATGTGACTTCAATTTAACAATGATAAAATTTAAAAGTAGAAAATGGCTTAATTTCCTGTGATTATATTACAGCTACAGTGTCTCAAACTCTGTTTTATGGATCAGCTCTGTACATGTGTGCTTTACAAACATTATTTAATTTATGCCTCTCAAAAGTCCTGCAAAGGGCAAATTGTTAGCCTTCTTTTACAGATAAGCAAATTGAGGCTCAGAGAAGTTAAATAACTTGCACAGGGCCTCAGAGCTACTCAGTGATGAGTCTTCTCTGTTCCTCCATTCATTTTAATGTTTTTTTCAGCAGACATTATAGAGCACCTGACAGTGTGTGGCTGGCACTAGAGATGTAGTCTTTGCCTCTAGGAAAATCACCGCCTAGTGGGAAAAGCAAGTCAACTCGCAGCGATACTGTGGTGTGAATAAGTGTTACAGTAAAGGTATCCGAGAGACAGTACACCTGAAGTGGTGCCTCTAACACAGGAAGCTTAGGGGGAGGTTCTTTACTTCAGAACAAAAATCCCATTAACTAGAGCTTCCCAAATACATTAAGTTTTACTTTTATTAAGCATATCTATAGAAAGGAAATTATGGAGAAACAACAGAGACACTTGGTGCTTTAGAAGTTGTTCCTTACCAATGTTCATTGGGAGAGTAAGGGGAAATATCTTTAGTGGCTTATTGAAATTCATTGGAAATCTGTGATTCAATGTCCAGATATAGTTTTGGCCCAGCTTTCAGGAACATGGCACTGCATACCTAGTAAACATGTGGTAGAGGTAGTTTCTGCCTTTATAAGGTTGAGCTGTGTCAAGAACTCTTTAAAATAATCAGAACATTAATATTAAATAACAGTATTCATTGGTGTCATCCAGTCCTTTAATTGTTCTAGAGATCATGAAATAGTATTACCCTTACTTACGCTGTCATTGAAATTTGAATTTTTTTTTCCAGAATTTATCATGTTGATGATACTCCTTCTGGATCATTGGATGGTGTGCTTGATTATAGTAAAGCCATTCAAGTAGGTGATTTTATTAGTGCCAGCATATGTTAATATCCATAGATTTGGAAATACTGTAATTTCATTTTGAGACATGAAAAAATTTGTTTCCAGTGAATAGCATATTATTCTAGTAATTCTTTTAAAAATTTCTATTCTGATTCAACTTGTTCTAGATCTGCTATGTTTTCTTCTTTTGATTTAAAATTTTTTTTTTTATTTTGACACAATCTTAGGCTCATAGGAAGCTGCAAAAATAGCACATAAAACCACCTTACCCAGCTTCCCACATGGTGACATCTTATGTAATGGTAGTATAATATCAAAATCAGGAAATTGACATTGGTAATGATTCTGTGAACTAGACTACAACTCAGTTCCGTATTCGGTTTTCACTAGTTTTTACATGTAGTTTTATGTAACTTTATCACCATAAAGGAACTTGCCTCATGCTACTTCTTCATTTTTATACTCACTCTCCACCCCTATCCTTGTCCCCTGGCAATCACTAATCTGTTTCCATCTCTATAATTTTGTCACTCTGAGAATGTCTTACGAAGAGAATCATATAGCATCCATTTTTCTTTTTAAAGATCCACCCAGGTTGTAACAGTGCCATACCATTTACCCCTTCTTTATTTTGGCATGTGCTGGCCCTCTTGCTAAATGTTCATCTTTTACGACCAAGCTCTCGGGTTTGCCTCTCTTCCCATTTCGGTGTAAGTTCAGGCTCCTCCCTCTGCGTTCTTGTAACTCTTGTGTTTACCTCTACTCTGATCACACTGTACTGTTGTGAAGCGCTGGGTCCACTGTCTTCCCCACTAGACTTTTGAGTAATCCCTGAGGGCAAAGATTATATCCGAGAATCTCCAGCGCTTCAATGTCTGTCACATAGTAGGTGCTCAGTAAGTAAATAGTGGTTAAGTTAATAAATATATAGCTGAAGTATACTGCTTAGTGAATTGCATACCACCTTATACCAGATCAGTCATTCAATAAATGTTTGATAAAGAGTAACATTGATTTATTTTAGGGCACAAGGGATCCGATTTGTGCCATAACTGCATCTGATAAGACCTTGATTGTGGTAAGTGCTTAAAAAAAAACTTATTCTATGAACAGTAATCTTTTACGTGGTGAAAATAGGGCAAAAGAATATGTTTTGGATTTGAATCTCATCTTACGGGCACCTCAAGTTTTACTAGGTCCAACAAAAGAAATAAAGTTTTAAAGGTTGCCTCATAAATTGTTAATCATTTGCAAAAAATAACTGTGAAAGTAGTAGACTCGTGGCCAGCTGGGGAGAGTCTGTCACTGGGTTGAATGAGCCCTGTAAAGATTGGCCAATGTGGAATAGATTGGACAGTGGCAGTAGGTCTCGGAAAGTTTCCTCTCTATGCAGCCTGCTTTGTTTTGTGCTGGAGAAAGTGCTTTGGCTCAGCTGTTTTCGTAAGACTTAGACTGAAGAGGTAGTGTGTTTGCTAGCCAAGAAAATAAAGAAGTCCGTGGCAAAGTTTTGCTGAATTTTTCAAATAAAATCAGTGTATCAGTGTTATAGTGTCTCTTCTGGAGCTCTGATATTTGAAAATAGTGATTTTAGAAATAAATGCTGAATATAGTAAAGCTGGTAGAGTCATTAAATTTGAATTATGTAAATAGATCCTTGAGTGTGTATATTTCCAGTTCTAGTTACATTCTTTAGACATTAGCTAAGTTTATGGGGGGAAAATCTTAAGAACATAGTATTCATTTTTCTCACCAAATGAATTTGGTGTATGTTTTAAGCAGTTTGTCTTACAGTCAGCTCTGTGGAGAGTCTTTTCTTTTTATATTCTTTGTTACACAGCACGTTTTTTGGTTGTATTAGTTGTGTTTCTGACATTTGCAGGAAAAAATAAAAATAAAATGCAAGTTAGATCAACCATAAAAATGGACTTAATTCCTAAATGAGAGAGTCTCCCTATAAGAAACACTCAGACAGTTTTAATACTAGCAAAAATTTTAGTGGTAAAGATACCTTCTGCATTGAAAACTTTCCACTGTTGAAATATAAACAGCTTCTAAAACCATGACGTTTTCAAACTCAAAGTCATAGGACCTACTTTTTCAAAAACAAAATCTGGTTGCATACTTCAGTATATTAAATCTTTTAAAGCCTGTACCTGTCTTTTGTACATTAAAAAAATATCTGCCCTTGTTACCAGTCCCTTGCCCTCCCCAGTCTTCCTGACAGGCCCTTTGCAGAAGCATGCTCAGAGGAGAGACCTGCCCCTGGAAGAAAGGGAGCGGGAATAGTGGGCTGAGGGTGGCCTCCGGTTTTTTCCCATTGCCATGGCCCCAGGCACAGCAGGATTTCACTGTCTGTTGCTCTGTTGATTTGTCAGCCTTGAGGCTTGCACAGAGTTGCATGGAAACTTACCTTCCATTCTGTGTTTAAACACACTGAAATAGTACTCACTGTACCACTGCTTTCTGATCATCGCCCTTTGCCACAAACTGGTATCATAGAGATGGCTACAGGATGACAACACAGACTTTCAGTGACAACTGTATTCCTATGGTGGTCTTATATTTATTTTTCATGTATATGAAATTTAGTTCAGTAGGTGCTGTATATGTTAGCTTTCATTGTACCCTGAATATTAACCTAGACAATTGTAAATAACCCTAGATATGTCTTCCATGTGATATAAGACTTTGTGTATTAAAATGAATTAGGTTTCTAGTTTTCTAGAAAGGTTTCTGACTTTTTTTTCTTGGATATTGCATGAAAAGAATTAGATCATCTTCAGCCACTTTAAAAAGGTTTTAAATTAAGTTAGGAGGCAAATATGTACTCAGAACATTATGAGTATCAGAATTGAGAATTCACTGTGACACTACCACTTTGGATTTGAAGCAAATGTATGAACACATAGAGAGACCTGTAGTTGTAATTTAATGTTATTATGGTAAATAGGCTTTAGTAATCAAAAATATTTTCTGTAGAGTCGTGAATCTGGCACCTTTCAGAGATACAGTCTTCCTAACGTTGGTTTGATTCAAAAATACTCCCTTAATTGTCAAGCCTACCAATTATCCTTGAATTGCAACTCTAGGTAAGTCTGAAAACTTTCCATAGGTAGACTGTCATCCACTGGGATTGTTGTATTTATGTAACAAATGCAAAGATGTGTGTTTGTTTTCAACTTGTATAGTTCAGTGTGGTTTTACTATACTATATTTGTATTTAAATATTATATTTATTAGGAATACACACACACACACACACACATCGATGTTTTTCTCTAATTGGTCTAAGATGTTTTTCTTTAATTGGGCAAAATATAGAAATTCTACTGTAATATTTTAGGTTATTTGCATACCAGTTGCTTTAGTCCCTTGGATACTTTTTTCTCTCACGGAAGCAAAATGGAAAGCACCCCATGTCTTCTATCAAATTTATAAATGTTTGCTTAAAGTTAGTTATTTAAAGCCATTTCTACCTTCTTCCTGGGTCCTGATGAACTTATTTTGAAGAATGGTGGTAATTATATTCATGAATGCTAGAGTACTGTTTCTTCCCCTCCTCCAATTTCATTACTTGTAGCCGCCTTGCTGTCATCGACATCTTAGGAGTTCTAACCTTCTTTGACTTGGATGCTCGAGTGACAGACAGCACAGGACAGCAAGTCATTGGCGAGTTGTTAAAATTGGAGCGAAGAGATGTCTGGGATATGAAATGGGCCAAAGATAATCCTGATTTGTTTGCAGTCATGGAGAAGACAAGAATGTATGTTTTCAGAAACTTGGATCCTGAGGTAAAACCCAGAAATGAACATTAATGGTACATAAATAATGAGCCAAAACCCAAAACCTGGCCATTTCTCCTTTGTTTCTTCAAGAAATTTGTTGGTGTTGGCTGCATGAATTTTGAAAATAAATAGGAACATTTCTGTGGAACTCAAAAATATTTGGTCTTAAGTGGGGTTAATATTTGTCTTTTAAATATTCTCTACTTTCACTGAAAGGTACTTTCTAAGCATTTATCTGTTCTGTTTAAAAGATGGAACCATGGTCACTAACTGTAGAGTCTTTATTTCTTCCCTTGTCAAAGTTTAAAAAAAAAGAGAGAATCTGTAGTCTTATTTACCAAAGTTGCTTAAGGCAACCTAACCAAAACGTGGTTTTGAAATTCCCTTGTCCTTTCATTTTGTTTGGCCTGTTCTGTGCTTACCTTTGTCTCATTTATATTCACATGAACTCTGTCAGCCAGGAGTCCATGTTCTTTCTCATCCTGATGATCTTGTGCACTGTGGCTAATAATCTGCTCTCTCTGGTGTGTCAGAATGCTCCTTTCTCACTGATTTTTAGAGTTATATTTTCTGTTTTCTACTTGTGACTCACATCAACTGATTTTTAGGTGTTGAACTTTCTTGTCAGTCTGCTCTGTAACTCTTAGCTGTTGTGTTTGGGAATTCAAAATTTGAGTGGTAGCCTAATCAAAACATAATTAAGAAGATAAATCTTTTAAACAATTTTTGAATTACCTGTGGATTTTCAATTTGGAATTTTCAATACTCCTATTGTACTCCACTAGAGGAAATAATAAGAGGTGACTTGATAACGTGCTTTATGGCAGTAACTGATGTTTGTTTGGACCTGTAGTTTCCTTCTTGGGAAAAAATTACATGCTGGGGCCCCCGAGCTACTGAAGTTCTTCTGTAATAATTTATTTAGTGGTAAACTATTTGCCCTTTTAATATCTTAAACTATTTTCAGTTTTAATACCCTAAATTATATACTAAGGATCTTTGGGTTGGCCAGTGACCTGATGTAAATTGCTCTCAAAGGCTTTGTTAAAGCTTTTAGGTGTCTTATGAAGTCACTCAGTCATGACCGACTTTTTGCAACCCCATGGACTGAAGCCTACCAGCCTCCTCTGTCCATGGGATTTTCCAGGCAAGAGTACTGGAGTGGGTTGCCGTTCCTTCTCCAGGGGATCTTCGCCACCCAGGGATCGAACCCGAGTCTCCCACATTGCAGGCAGACGCTTTACCATCTGAGCCACCAGGAAAGCCAGGTGTCTTGTGGATCTTTGTATTTTTAGACCCTGAGTAACGGTTCAAAGGGCTTCCCTGGGGGCTCAGACGGTAAAGAATTGCCTGCAGTGCAGGAGACCCAGGTTCAATCCCTGGGTGCAGAAGATCCCCTGGAGAAGGGAATGGCAACCCACTCCAGTATTCTTGCCTGGAGAATTCCAGGGACAGTGGAGCCAGGCAGGCTCACGAAGAGTCGGACGCAACTGAGCAGCTACCACCACCAGTGGCTCAAAGGAAGGGCATTCAGGGTGTTGCCTTTAACCTGTATAAGCACAGCTGTCTTTCAAAGGTTTAAAGAAAACTTGACCTTTCCAAAGAAACAAGTGTGAAAATTTGGCAGGTAATCATGGGATAAACTTGAGGATGGAAGTGAAATACTTTTTGAATGTTAGGGTCCATTATCCGTTGTTGTCTCTACTCACACTGATTTTGAAATCATGTGCCTGGAGAAGTGAGAGGATTATGCCTGGCTGTTTATAATGTGTGTGCAGCACACATGATGAGTCCAGGACCAGGGCAAATCTTTGCTTAGTGGAAAGTGTTTCTTAAGTAGTTTCAAAAGAACAGCCTTTTATTTATTTATTTTTGGAGTTTGTTGTCTGGCTTGGCAAGTACTTCAGTTTTCTGTTAGATTTAGAGGTAGGTGAATTTCTTAAAAACTTAACCACTGACTGAATTTCTTTATAAACCATGCTAAGCTGTTGTTTTCATTCAGATGAGAACACTGGCTGTGGTCCCTGTTTGGTCAGTTACCCTGCTTGCCATGCCTCTAGCACATGAGGACATAACTCTTCAAAACTGGACTTATTGACTCCTTTAAGACATCGTATTCTGTCCTAAAGGGACAGAGGGTCTTCCTATGCCATCTTGATCCTGTCTGATCACTCACCTTACCTTTCTGTTTCTCATTTCCTCTTTGTTTTTGGTATTATTTTTTATCCACAGGTCATCTTTTATGACTTTATCTTTTGTCTGTCTTGCTTTGTTGAATTATCTAGCTAGAAATAAAAAATTTTCTAGTGATGAACCTTTTTATACAGGTATACTTGGTTTACATGCAGTACCAAAAGAAAGCCTCTAAGAGGCTCCTATAATTTATAAGAAATATTTCACCACGTGTACTTTTTTGTGAGTTGAATTTTGTTCTGATTCTTTCTGTTCATAAAAGCATACTATTTGCCTTTATGTAATATGATTTTTTGAGGAAGTGTAGGGATTTTATAAAGTTTTCTCATATAATTTTAATCAATTTCTACTTTTTAAAGAAAATATATATTTTAAAACCCAATGAACATATATAATGTGGCTCCAAGAGCCTCAGTATTAAACTTAGACATATTAAGTGCAAACTAAACATCATTCAGTATTTACTTATTTTCATCTTTTTAGTGTCTTCCTATTACTATAATTTTTAAGTTTCTATTATATATGAAGCACTAACTTTCAGAATTATAAATCTGATACATTATTGCATTTGGATTTTAGGTTACTTTCTATTTTTTTATGACTTTATACATATTTTGAAAAATTGCTTTCTTGAGTTATTTTCATTATCAGACATTATCCTATTCTTTTTGCAGTGTTCTTGGAGGTAGTAATTATATTGGGAGTTTATTTCTTTTTTATATAATATTTATACCTATTTTTTCCACTAGGGGTTTAGGACAGCTGCTTTACACTATAATATGCATTTGCTCTATTTTATTTCTACAAGCCTGTGTAACACTAGGACAAGAAAGAGACATATAGCAGGCTCATGTATTTCCATCTTGGCAAATTAAATCTCATATAGAAAATGAATCTATCAACAATACCCTCTGGCTAATGTTACAGAGGACATACTTTTCATGGTATGAGACTTCTTTGATATATATATATATCTATACATATACACATACATATATATAAATATATATATATATATACACTTAGATACAGATTTCATTAAGAATTAAATCTAATGTTACATAGAATGAATGAGAATTATCAAACTGTATAAACCATCTTTGGATTAATTCAGAAGCTGATGCTGGATCCCATTAGGGAATTAATACTGATTATGTGAGGTGTGATCATCATCATGTGGCTATGTAAGAGAACATCCTTATGTTTTAGAGATACGTACTGAAATAGGAGTGAAATGTTATGATGTCTCTAGATTTACTTTACTTTAAAATGCTTTAGCCAAAAAATTGACTAAAGTATATCTCCAAACTGTTAATATTTAGATGATAGGTATGTGAGTGTTAATGACATTCTACTTTTTTGTTTTGAGAATTTTGATAATAAAATTTAAAATTATGATAAGTCAAAGAAGGAAAATTTTGTACTTTTAAACATAACATTTGTTTTTGTCTTTAAAGGAACCCATTCAGACTTCTGGATATATATGTAACTTTGAGGATTTAGAAATTAAATCTGTTCTCTTGGATGAGATATTAAAGGTAATTCTTATTAAGAAACAGTTACATTTCTGTTGTTGGCTTGACTGGAATTCGTTTTTGTCCTGGGCAGTATGGGGTACTGGTTAGGAGTGTGGGTTACAGAGTTCCAGCTCTCCTTTGTTACTCGCACAACCTTTAGACAGCATCCTTCCTCTTCTAAAGTTTCACTTTCCTTTCCTGTTTATGAGCTTGTTTTTATCTCTATAAAATGTGGGTAGTAATAGTACCTTTCTTACAGGATTGTTACTTTGTAAGATAATGAGTAGAAAGCAAGTTAGTGGAGTGCTAGGACCAAGAGCTCAAAAAGGGTTGTTAGTTGTCATTATTTTATGTTTGAATAACAGAGAATGCTGAAGAAATATTTGATAATTTTCTTTAGTCTTTTTCTTGTTCTAGAATATTTGAGTAACTTTTTGTTTGGAGGTCCACCTTCCTTCCATTTTTATTTTCAGGTTTTATAAAGTGATCTGTTTCTAAATTCCAGATAATTTTTGAACTTCTACTTTGACCTTCATTGAACATTCTTTGAGAATTTTTTACTCTGAGAATATATTGCAAGTTTACTTTCATTTTCCCAAAGTGTTTATTTTCCTATGTACTATGTATGTTTTTTGGAATTGGGAGAGTAGATTTTAAATTTCCAGAAATGTTCCATTTTATAACATGTTTTCATATTAAAATAAATATCAAACTAAAGTTTGATAATGTAAATTGCAACTCTTTTATTGTGATCCAGTCTTTTCTGTATTTGATGACCACACAAAAGCAGCAGGAATGGCCCCCACCCCAAATTTTGTTTGCATGTCAAGAGTATTAACACCACAGACATACCAAAAGGGTGTAAAAAGATCTTACCTACATAGTGAGGTTTTTTGGGGAGAAAGGACAGCTTTCCTAAGCTGGTTCAAAATTGATTTGAGAGCAAGGAAAGGAGACAGGCTAGGGTTTTTGGGTAATTAGAGGGTGGGGCTAGAGTGAGGGTTCCCATAAGTAGGTAGAGTTATGTGTGGTTTGAAACTCCTGTGGCACCAAAGGATGGAACACTTAACGCTTTCTTAGCACCTTGTCCAGATGTGAGGCAGAAGGGGAAGGGGTGGGGGTGAGGCTTAAAAGCTCTCAGCAATCAAACATCAAAAAGGAAGTTCTGAAGTTCTGTTGCAATCTAGATATTTTAACAATTGCATGTTAAATTGCTTCAGCTGTGTCCACCTCTTTGCGACCCTTTGGACTGTAACCTACCAGGCTCCTCTGTTCATGGGTTTCTCTAGGCAAGAATACTGGATTGGGTTGCCATGCCCTCTTCCAGGGGATCTTCCTGATTCAGGAGTTGAACCTGTTTCTCTTAGGTCTCCTGCACTGGCAAACTGTAACCAATATATGGAAAGATAGATTTGATATGATGGATTAGATAAACAGGAATAATTTTGTAAAAGTGGCCTCATTGTATAATCGACTTTTTTAGTGTTCAATTTAATTTTAACAATTCGGCAGTAAATCTGAAGGAATTGTAGAACTTCAGATAATTTTTTTTTTCACCACAAATGTTGCTGTTTTTCTGGGTTAAGAAGGAGAACTATGAAAAACTAAAACTAGTGAAATTAAAAAAACTACTGCTTTTAAACTACATCTTAATGTTTGGTATTATTGATTGTGCACTCTAAAAGATGATGTTCTTACATTTTCTACCTCTTTCTCTCCTTTCTTCATTAGGTATATTGTTATTTTTACTTTTTCAAGATTTAGAATGTTTGCATTTTGTTTTCTAACCCTATTTTTCCAGTTGTTTAGTCTTATATTTATTTAAATGAAAGCTACCATCAGCCTTTTTCTATATTTTCTCTGTGCATGAGTTCTTAATTTTGATTAATCTTGTAGTTGGCTGGATTTCATCATTACAGCTTTTTTCAAGACAGGCTCATAGTTGCTGATTGCCTTGAATTCTGGAATGCTTAAGAATGATGATATTGACATGACTATATTGATACTTATGAAGAATTTTTAAAACATATTTAACTGGTTAGATGTACTGTAAAACTCTTGACACACTGGGCACAGTCTGTGTGTATCTTGTACTGGGCTGAAGAATCACTGCAGTACTATTGCCTGGTTTACCGGTAGGGGCTGTTAAACTGAGGGAAACCAGGTTCTCTGCGACAATTCGGTTCTCTGCCTGACTTACTACATGCAAAGCCATAAAGAAAAGAATATTGTCATATCTTAGTTCCCTCTGAGGCCTTGTTGACCCAGGAAATATTTATCTGAACTGTGGATTCCTTCAAGCATACAATTTTAAGAAATAACATGAGTGTTGTACACCTAAAAATAATAGAATGTTATAGGCCAATTGTATGTCAATAAGATAGGAAAAAAATAACATGAGAAATTTCTTGGAGGAAGGAGTGCAGAAGAAAAAGGTAAGGAATTAACATGCATTAACACCTTTGTTGGAGAAGGCAATGGCAGCCCACTCCAGTACTCTTGCCTGGAAAATCCCATGGACAGAGGAGCCTGGTAGGCTGCAGTCCATGGGGTCGCTAAGAGTCAGACACGACTGAGCGACTTCACTTTCACTTTTCACTTTCATGTATTGGAGAAGGAAACGGCAACCCACTCCAGTGTTCTTGCCTGGAGAATCCCAGGGACAGGGGAGCCTGGTGGGCTGCCGTCTATGGGGTCGCACAGAGTCGGACATGACTGAAGTGACTTAGCAGTAGCAGCAACACCTTTGTATGAGGTGTTTATTTGTCGTTACAACTGTACTTGATAGATATTTAGATCAGGAAGGTTCTTGGTGGATAAAATTATTTACCTAAAGTTCATCTGTTCATGGATTCAGCAAATATTGTTTGGGAACAAGTAAAGGCAGTTCCTGGCCTCCAGTAGAGAAGTTGGGGAGGTGGACAAGAAATTCAGCAAGTAGAAGAGGGTTAAGGGTGCTGTGGTTCAGTCAACAGGTGTATTTCTTCAAAGGTCTGAAACAAGTGAGTGTCAGGTTGGTTCTGAGACTGAATAAGGTGAATAACACTGCCAGGCATTGTGCTCAGTGTTCGATATGGTATTATCTCATTTAATCCTCACAATGCTAGAAGGTAAATTTGATTACCATCCCATTTTTTTTAGATGAAGAATTTGAGGCCTGGAGAAATCAGCTGGCTTGCCAGTGATACCCAGTTAGCAGTAGGCACAAGCATGATTTGACTCCAGGCTCTCTAGCTTCAGAGTTGGTGTGTGTAACTGTAGTGCGGGATTATGGGTATTTTCCAGAAAATTCAAAAGACCCACACATGGGAATTTCTTTTCTTCCCAGCTTTGCTCATAATATGATGCAGTTGTTCATTTGCTTTTTTTTTTAGACTGTAAGAAAGAAATACATACTCTAAAGGCAACTATTTAGATTTCTCTCTTTTCATCTTTACTTTTAGAATCCAGAATATCCAAACAAGGATTATATCATTAACTTTGAGATCAGGTCCCTTCGAGATAGTCGAGCAGTGATCGAGAAGGTTGGAATAGAGAATGCTTCTCAGTTCATCGAGGATAATCCACACCCCCGACTTTGGTATTTAAAAATAAATAAATAAAACCTCATGAAGTATCAAGTGTAAAATCTCAGCCGTTGTCCACTACTCTGATACTAGACTCCTGGTGGGAATAACTTTCATTCTTGCTCTTCTTTTTAAAATACAGAAATTTAGAGGTGGAACTATTCAACATAAGCATAATATTAGGACTTCCCTGGTGGTTCAGTGGTTAAGACTCCACACTTCCACTGCAAGGGCCATGGGTTTGATTCTTGGTCAGGGAAGTACTGTGTGCAGCCCAGTGCAGCAAAACAAAAAGGAAAACGTTTATAAATTTGTTAAAATAATCACTTCCCACTGTTTCACTAGAAGCAATAGGTATAGTAATTGAATTCTGATTCAAGACTGGTTTATCTATAGTTCACCATAGGCTTTTACTGTTTCCCTTTTTAATATAGGCGCCTGCTAGCTGAAGCAGCTCTTCAGAAACTGGATTTGCACACTGCAGAGCAAGCGTTTGTGCGTTGCAAAGATTACCAGGGCATTAAGTTTGTGAAGCGCCTGGGCAACCTGCAGAGCGAGCCCATGAAGCAGGCAGAGGTGGCTGCCTACTTCGGCCGGTTCGAGGAGGCAGAAAGGATGTATCTGGATATGGACAGAAGGTAAGTGCTGAAGGTGCAGGCATCTGGACTGCTCCCAGAATCTGCATTTTTTTTTTTTTTTAAACAAATGATTGTAAAATAGACTAAATACATCACACCATTTCTTTAAAAAAAAATAACTTCAGTTTGGATTCCAACCCAGACATTCAACATGACCTTAATTTATGCTTTGTAATTCAGGGGCAACTTTCTTCTCTGTCTTGACGTAATGTTAATGACTGGCCATGGGAGATTTTTTTCATTTGGTAGGGAAAAAACCCATGTAACTACAGAGACTAGGGGCTTTATCATTTATTGTACCACTCATTATTTAGGTTCTCTGTTTTGGTTTAGCTCATTATTTAATTTTCTGTTGTCAAAGAGCATGAAATGAAATTCCAAGGTATTTAGGGGTTGAGTTTTATTCTTTATATTTCAATTTTCTTTATATAAATGACTGCATGAACTTCATTTCAGCTGTGAACATTTATATCTAGTTTTTATTATTTGTACTATCAGGAGATTGCTATTACAACTTAAGCTTTGAAAATAAATATAAAACCAAACATGTAAACATGAAATAAGCCTGATCATGTCTAAGAAACTGATGAAAAGAAATGATTATTATTTAAGGGATTATTTTGCCAAGTAAATTGAAAGCCTAGGAGAATAAGAGGCAGAAAAGTGTTTCTTTTTTCCTGTTGCAGGTTCTCCCCATTGCCTCTTCCTTGGTCAGGCTAAATTTCTAAAATGTTTGGAGAGTTACCTTATCTGTCTCTTCATTGCTGTGTATTCTCAGTATCTGAGAACTGAACCTAGCACATAGCAGGCACTTGCTAAATGCTTGTTGAATGAATGAATATCTTTTTTTTTTTTCTGTAGAGATCTGGCTATTGGCCTCCGGCTGAAGTTGGGAGATTGGTTTAGAGTACTCCAGCTTCTGAAAACTGGATCAGGTGACGCAGATGACAGTCTCCTTGAGCAAGCCCACAATGCCATCGGAGACTACTTTGCTGATCGACAAAAGAGGTAGGTCACCTATCTGGACCCCCGCCATCCATTCATTCCACACTTGAAATTGTAGCTGCCTGTGTAGAGTACGTCCTTATGAAATAATGCCAGGGAAATGAAGACCATCCTTCCAGATCCCAGAATTCACATAGCCCTAGTTACCATGGAGGAGCAAGGGATCCTTCCGGTTGTCAGGTGAGCATTGTAAGACTTTGGAGTTTCAAAATTCAGAAGACATATTCTTTAGCACCAGGTGGCTTTCTTCTGTTTGTTTGCTTGTTTTATTATAATAGCTGATTTTCAGAAATCATTGGTGTTTATTCTGAAGCTATTGTTTTAATCAGTATGCTTACTTATTTATGTCAGTGTTTGGAAATACAACTGTGTATCAGAGTAAAGCAGTATTTCTTAAGAATATTCAAAGAATATTGTAACTAAAATATGCTATGCAGTCTTTTTTTGGTTTTTCAATTTATGTGCTTCAAAGATATTTTATAACTAAAGATGATGATTAGAGCAATATTACACTAGTGTTGCCATTCTAATGAAAGAACTTTTTTGGTGAAAGTGCTTATTTATCAGGAGATTCACATTAGTTTAAAAGTTTTTCTTTTCTTTCTGTAGGTTGAATGCTATACAATATTATGTACAAGGCCGGAACCAGGAACGCTTAGCTGAATGTTATTATATGTTAGAAGATTATGTGGGATTGGAGAATCTTGCCAATTCACTTCCAGAAAACCACATGTTGCTTCCAGTAGGATATTATACATTTCAGTTTTGGGAGTTGTTAGGTTACTTTATAAAGCTTTTCTATTATAGTGAGGAAATGTACTTTGCAGTATGGAAAATTAATAATTATAACTTCACGGTTTCTAAGACGTGGAATGATGCTATAGATATTAAAACAATTTTCAGTATTACAGAATGCTTCAAAATGGAGAAGGAAAAAATCAATCATATTCCTACTGTTTTAACATGATTACAGTCTTGTGTGGGGCTTGTCAGTTTTATAACATTGCTTTAAAAATTAGCTGAACACATGAAATGTTTACAGATGAATTAATAGGTTGTCAGAGATTGTCTTCAGAGTGATTTGAGGTGGGTGTGGGGAGTAGTGCATGTGTGTATATGTTTGAAATTTGCTATAAGAAAAGTTTAAAAAGATAGCTCGACTTTCTAGGCTATATTAACAACAAAGGATTTAACGTTTAAAAAAAGAGTGAAACTAAAGGCAGAGTTCTCTGTAACTTTGTTCTAAATTTTCTTCTTTGGGCTCTTTAAATTAATTGTTGCATAATTAATGCTGCCGCTGCTGCTGCTAAGTTGCGTCAGTTGTGTCCGATCTGTGCAGCCCCATAGACGGCAGCCTACCAGGCTCCGTCGTCCCTGGGATTCTCTAGGAAAGAACATTGGAGTGGGATGCCATTTCCTTCTCCAATGCATGAAAGTGAAAAGTGAAAGTGAAGTTGCTCAATCGTGTCTGACTCTTCTTGACCCCATGGACTGCAGCCCACCAGGCTCCTCCATCCATGGGATTTTCCAGGCAAGAGTACTGGAGTGGGTTGCCATTGCCTTCTCCGGCATAATTAATGGGGAGAGAAAAACCATTTAGATATTAAAAAAGGAAAAAACAAAACAGATAGTCTGAAAATTGGCTAGTACAGCCCAATGGGATTTTTTGTTGTGGTTCCCCTCTTCCATTTTTGGCCTCGTTTCCTGAACTGATGAATAGCCAACTTGTCTGGGACATTGCTTAATAGAGGTATTTGAGAGCCCTGTGAGTGTGAGATTTCCCTTAAGTCTCTAGTTAATGATTAACACTGAGTATCACGTCAATCCTTTAAAGGTAGTTTTTACCCACTAGCTTGGGGTTTGTTTTGGGGCCTGGCATTTCTGTAAAGTCGCTACTGAAGTGAAAGAAGACAAGAGTTCAGTATCTTCAGAACCTGGTTGAAAATCAGATCTGGGCGGTGAGCCAGTGAAGCACAGATTTTATAAAAAGTGATGCCTTAGCATCCTTTCTAGTTTGTAGCCTCTGCCTCTATGTCCGGTTAAAACGAATATTCTATGCTGTTTGCTGTACAGTCACTAAGTTGTGTTCTACTCTTTGCGACCCCATGGACTGCAGCCCTCCAGGCTCCTCTGTCCATGGGATTTCCCAGGCGAGCATACTGGAGTGGGTTGTCATTACCTTCTCCAGGGGATCTTTCTGAGCAGATGCCTTAGTTATCCTTTTTGGTTTGTAGCCTCTGCCCCATGTCCATTTAAAAGAAAAGTTACTGTTGCTACCAGTAATTATAATATTCCTATGGAGTTTTATAAGTTAAAATGTAAGTGATTTCCTTGTTCTGTGAAATCCGATGGTAATGTTTTGTCCACAGGAAATAGCACAGATGTTTGTGAGAGTTGGAATGTGTGAACAAGCAGTGACTGCATTTTTGAAATGTAATCAGCCGAAGGCAGCAGTGGATACCTGTGTACATCTCAACCAAGTAAGGAGCTGAAAGTCACCAGAGTGATGCTATAAAGACTGTTGCCAGGACAAGGGTTGGAAATCTTGAGACAGATTTTGTGAAAGGAGCCAGATATTTGTTTACTTGGTTGAGGACTGAGAAAATGTCAGAATTTGCACTTACCTCTTGAAGTGCTACCATTAAGGGTGACCCCTTCATAACTAACTCAGTATGAGAACCTGAAAAAACCCTGTCCTTTTAGTCTGGCAAGTTTTTGTCTGGAAGTCATTTCATAATTTTTTGCATTTTATTAGGGTTGTGTTTTGTTTCCAAAGAAGGACCAGTTAATGGTCATTGCAAGAGGAAGGAATTGAGTTACTTTATCAATATTTATTTTGGCAAATCTATTTTCTTTTCCTTATAGAAAACATATATTTGATATTTTCAAGAGCTGGAATTAACTAAAATGAAAATGCAGAATTGTTGAAATTGTTCACTATCCATGTATTCTTTTAAGAATTTTTTGAAGTATTTTATAAAGTTCCATTTGCTTTCTAAAAATAAATGTTAAATCTGATAGGATTTTTCTTAACTGAAATTCCATTATTTTTATTATTTTATTATTTTTATTGTATCTTTTTCTCCCTCATAGTTCGTGCAAAATTAGAATTATAAGATTAATATGACTATAAACTTTGATGCTTTCTTTTTCAGATGTTCTCCTTAAACACATCAGTCTTAGATCATTTGGTTATTTTGACATGTTTGACTTCTAAAATTTATAATTCCTCTGATTAAAAAAAATTTATATACCAGTTTTAAATTTTGATATAGTGTTATTTATTATTATAAACTTAAAGCTTTATTGTATGTATTTTTAGACGTATCTGACTGTAAATGCTTGGGTAATTGTATGTTGTATATATTTTTCCCAAGTGGAACAAAGCTGTTGAATTGGCTAAAAGTCATAATATGAAAGAAATTGGTTCCCTGTTAGCAAAGTATGCATCTCATTTATTGGAAAAGAATAAAATTCTTGATGCCATAGAACTCTATCGGAAAGCCAATTACTTTTATGATGCTGCCAAGCTGATGTTTAAGGTAATGTAATAATCTTGGTGAGTATTTGATTTGTTTTAGTTACCAATGTTTTCTTATATACTAAAGAATACATTTTCCATTCTTTGGAAACAAATATTTGTTATAGCAAAATCCCTCTGATTTTGTTACTATCATAGTATAACTATGTGTTATCTTAGTAGTATTACCGTTTACTAAAAAGGCTGTTTATTAATTTTAGCACCTTCAGTCAGTTTAGTTCAGTCTCTCAGTCGTGTCTAACTCTTTGCGACCCCATGAATTGCAGCACACTAGGCCTCCCTGTCCATCACCAACTCCCGGAGTTTACTCAAACTCATGTCCATCAAGTTGGTGATGCCATCCAGCTATCTCATCCTCTGTCGTCCCCTTCACCTCCTGCCCCCAATCCCTCCCAGCATCAGGGTCTTTTCCAATGAGTCAACTCTTCTCATCAGGTGGCCAAAGTATTGGAGTTTCAGCTTCAGCATCAGTCCTTCCAATGAACACCCAGGACTGATCTCCTTTAGGCAGGACTGGTTGGATCTCCTTGCAGTCCAAGGGACTCTCAAGAGTCTTCTCCAACACCACAGTTCAAAAGCATCAATTTTTTGATGCTCAGCTTTCTTCACAGTCCAACTCTCACATCCATACATGACCATTGGAAAGACCATAGCCTTGACTAGACGGACCTTTGTTGGCAAAGTAATGTCTCTGCTTTTTAATATGCTATCTAGGTTGGTCATAACTTTCCTTCCAAGGAGTAAGTGTCTTTTAATTTCATTGCTGTAATCACCATCTGCAGTGATTTTGGAGCCCCCAAAAATAAAGTCTGACACTCTTTTCCCATCTATTTGCCATGAAGAGATGGGACCAGTTGCCATGATCTTAGTTTTCTGAATATTGAGCTTTAAGCCAGCTTTTTCACTCTCCTCTTTCACTTTCATCAAGAGGCTTTTTAGTTCCTCTTTACTTTCTGCCATAAGGGTGGTGTCATCTGCATATCTGAGGTTATTGATATTTCTCCTGGCAATCTTGATTCCCACTTGTGCTTCTTCCAGCCCAGCATTTCTCATGATGTACTCTTACTGATTCCTAAAAAACTGTATATTTACTTAATACTGAAGTTAACAATTAGAGAATTTTCAACTACTATAAAGTACAAGTTCCTGTAACTGGAAATTAAATCCTGTTATTAAATTTTCAAGTCCTTTTAAATGTGCAAGTTTTAAAGATGTTACACGTTTCATAGTAGGCATTTGGAGGGAACATGACTAGTATGGAATTAACGTAAGCAAATTTTACATTCTGTTCTATTCTTCTACCATTTGATTTAATGACAAAGGAAAAATTTCCTTTGAATCATTTAAACAGATTTAAATTTCTGGAGATGTACCATGGTAAAGCCATCTTATCTCTAGGTACTTGAAAATTATTTTAAAAATCTGTTATATAAAATACTAGCCTTTCAATGAAAGCTTTCTTCACTCTGAATTATTTATCAGCATCTGTTATTTTCTAAAATTGTTTTGCATTCTAATTCCAATGGTTAAATACTAAGGAAATAACTTAATTACTTATCAGTACTAAGGAAAAGAAAATGTGTTTTAAAATATTTGTCATAAACGGATGGTACTTATATTTCACCCTACTGACTTTCCTCCTCATTTTAGAGAATCAGATTTCAGAAATGAGAACATTTGTACAAACATAGATTAAGAAATATCTTCCCCCAACTCTTTAAATATTTAAAGATTGCAGATGAAGAGGCAAAGAAAAGAACTAAACCTTTACGTGTGAAGAAGCTCTATGTGCTGTCAGCTTTACTTATAGAGCAGTACCATGAACAAATGAAAAATGCCCAACGAGGCAAAGTTAAAGGAAAGAGCTCAGAGGTAAGGTGGAACATTAAGTAATGTTAAGTCATGTGAAGCATTTAAGGGAAAAAAAACCAAAATGATCAAACTTCTCTTTATGGATAGACCATTTAATGTACTTCTTTGTTTGCATTTATTTTCTTAAATGATAGTAGGAAAAAGAATAAATGATTTGGAATTAGTACTCACATTTAGACATCTCAATTTGGAAATATTGAAAATGATTTTTTTTTTTACTAATCTGTAATCTTTGCTTAATTCCTTTTTTGGTAAATCCTTTTTAATCAGTGAGTTTTAAAAGCTTCCATAGAAATATGTGTATTTTTTAAATTGTAAGTGAGCATTGTATTAACATAAAGTTTAATCAATTCTATTTAAAAATTTGATCATTCCTTGGGGAGGAGAATCCTTTCACAATATATCCGTATATAAAATCACCACAATCTACACTTTAACTTTCTTACAATTTGATTTGTTGATTATACCTCAGTAAAACTGAAGAAAAAATTTGATCATGTCAGTTTAAAAAAGTATGAATTATAATAGAGAAGTCTGTGGTGACAGTTCTGTAACGATGAAATATGCTAATTTATTATTATTATTTATTTTGGCTGTGCTGGGTCTTCATTGTGGTGCAGTGCACAGGCTCAGTAGTTAGGATTTGTGGACTTAGTTGTGGCATGCGAAATCTTAGTTCCTCTACCAGGGATCAAACCTGGGCCCCCTGCATTGGGAGCACGGACTGTTTTCCCCTGAACCACCAGGGAAGTCTCCTTCCCTAGATATTTTAATGTATAACAGTTTCAGAAATCACCTCTATTGGAAGGACTGTTGTTAGGTTTGTGCTGACAGCAGATGTGGGTCTGCTTTATTTGTAGGCCACTTCTGCTTTGGCTGGTTTGCTGGAAGAAGAAGTTCTGTCGACAAGTAGTTGTTTCACTGATAATGCTTGGAGAGGGGCTGAGGCTTATCACTTCTTTATACTGGCGCAAAGACAGCTCTATGCGGGCTATGTTGACACAGCACTGAAGACAGGTGGGTGTCGTAACTCATATATGCAACATGTCTTAAAAGTCATAAATTAAATACGAAGGGCAAACCCCTTCAAGTTACTCTTATATTAACTTCAGTAACACTTTTTTCTCTTTTGGCCATGCCCTGCAGCCTGTGAAGATAAGATGTGGTAATCAAAATAAATTATCTGAGCTGATAACTTAGAGACTCAGTTTCACTTCCTTTTTTCTCAAAGTTCTATTTTTTCAATAAGACAGACTGAAAAGCAGTAATCTGTTCAAAGAAACACAAAGAGAAAACACGATTTCATACTTCGCTTTTGTTTTTTTAAACAAAAGGAAACATGATACTGTTTTGAGAATCCACAGAAATTTCTAACATTTATATGGAACATATAAATGTTTTATAAATACAACACATATAAAAATTATAATTATACAATAATAATAATCTGTTTATATATATTTATATCTGCAGTGTATTTTGCCACCAATAATTTTTGGTATATTTCTGAGTGGTGCAGCCATGTGCGTCATTTGGTGGTGGTAATTTTTATAGGCCCTGAGCTGTTGGCTGGTGTTACAGAATTTGGTGGTCATGTAGTCTGCTTCCCTACTAGTTCTCTGATCACCTACCATTGTTCTCATTAACTTTGCTAACATTCATGTAGGTTAAACTGAGCCAGCCTGACATTCTTCCCCATGCATGTTCATGATGGTGTGATTGCTTTACACAATCCAGACTGCCTTCTCTTTCCTAGCTCTTCACCTGAGAGACTATGAAGACATCATCCCTGCAGTTGAGATCTACTCTCTGTTAGCACTCTGTGCGTGTGCCACTAGAGCTTTTGGTACTTGTTCAAAAGCTTTTATTAAACTCGAATCTTTAGAGACCCTCAGTTCGGAACAGAAGCAGCAATATGAAGATCTTGCTCTAGAAATCTTCACCAAACATACTCCGAAAGATAACAGAAAATCCGAGTTGGACGGCCTTCTTGAAGGGTAGGGCCAACTGTAATTAGTAGATGGCATTTTTATATAGATTTTTATATCTAAATAGTATAGTATAATGATGAAATCACTAAATTTTAAACTCTCATACCTTAACTCCCTGGCAGCTCAGCAGTAAAGAATCCACCTGCAGTGCAGGAAATGGGGGTTCACTTCCTGGGCTGGGAAGATACCCTGGAGAAAAGAAATGGCAACCCATTCTAGTATGTTTGCTTGGAAAATCCCACTAACAGAGGAACCTGGTGGACTACCGATCATGGGGTCACAAAGATTCTGACACCACTGAGCGACTAACAACAAGCCACCTTAACATTATACTCAAAGCCTATTTCCTTTAGTCTTAACAGTATATTAATGATTTCTCATTGAAAGAAAAGTTTTTATTTGAAATTTACCTTGAAATGTTTTCCATTCTTCAGGTTTTTTTTTTTTTAGTGTAATAAATAAGGTTTTAAGTGATTAGACATTTTAAAGTGTAATTCTTTCTCCTCTTATTTTTACAGAGGGGAAGGGAAACTGCCAACGTGTGTTGCCACAGGAAGCCCAATTACTGAATATCAATTCTGGATGTGCAGTGTGTGTAAGCATTGTGTCCTGGCTCAGGAAATAAATAACTACAACTTCTGTCCCTTATGCCATAGTGCAGTGGGATGAAGAACTGACCAACTGCATATACCGGGAGAGTGTATATAATAAGGTTGATTCCATACAGTTTATGTAAAAAGCAGCATTATTTCAGAGTTGTATTTTTATACAAATATGTATATATATATGACAGAAACTGGTTATGCCTCACTGGCTTCTGAACTTTGGGTCAGCTGTTGAGAAATCCACAGTTGAGATGGAATGAGTAAAGAGAAGGTCACCTGCATGTGGTGGGGCAACTCTGCTAGGCTGTTCTTTTGGATTTTCATAAAGGGTAAAATAAATATGAGGCTATGAGATATGAAAAAACCAGACTGGCTTTCTTCATATATCAGGAAATATAGCATCTTACTGTCTCCACCATTAAGAAGGGACTACCACTCTTAATTCAAGTTTGAAATGAAGGGGAAAAAAATTGCTAAATGGCCAGGCTGGGATCAGTGCCCATCCCTAGAACAATACCAGGGTCCACGAGGAAGGGCAGGGTGTACCACAGATGTCTACTCTAGTATCACTAATGGTATCGGAAGTGAGACATGGGTCTGGAAGAGCAGTAGTCTTATAAGGCAATGCTCTGGAAGCTGGAAGGACTGAAGCTGACCTCTGTACAAGACAGAGATCAGGAAGGGAAGAAAAACAAAACCCAGTAATATATACACATAGACATGTTATGTATATATATAATTTTGTGTAAAAATACAACTATGAAATAATGATGCTGATTTTCATATAAAAGATATAGAAATTGACCATAATAGGTTGGTGGTTTTTATGATACTATGGAAATATTCCAAATAAGAAAAAAAATTTCTCACGGTGTCAAGGTTACTAATTCATTAAACATTTTTGATGGAGAGGGATGGGGAAGTGTGAGAGTGGAGCAAAGTTGAGTTTAGGGAATTGACATAACCTGTCTTAGGAGGTTGTGGGCGTGCGTGCTCAGTCACTCAGCTGTGCCTGGCTGTTTGTGATCCCATGGACTGTAGCCTGCCAGGCTCCTCTGTCCATGGGATTCTCCAGGCACGAATACTGGAGTGGGTTGCCATGCCCTCTTCCAAGGGATTTTCCTGACCCAGGGATTGAACCCATGTCTCCTGTACCGGCAGGCAGATTCTTTATCACCAGCAGCACCTGGAAAGCCCAGAGGCAGATTAAACAATTGTAATACTGAAATAAGCTCTATTTCTAGTTGTGTTTAATTAAATAAGCATTGAAAATGTTCTCTGTTTTACTTTCAGAAGTGATAAAAAAGCATTTAAAGACTTTTTTTTTTACAATTTAAATTGTTTCTAATAGCTCTTTGAAAATTTATTTTTTATTTTCATAGCTGCTCAGAACATCGTTGCTGCATCCAAGCTTTCTCTAGTTGCGGAAAGTGGGGGCTACTCTCTAGTTGTGGCGTGCAGGCTTCTCATTGCGGCAGCTTCTTTCGTTGCAGAGCGCAGGCACTAGGGCTCGCAGGCTTCAGTGGTTGCTGTGTGTGGGCTCAGTAGTTGTGGCTCACGGCCTCCAGAATGCAGGCTCGGTACACAGGTTTTGTTGCTCCGCAGCATGTGGGATCTTCCTGGACCAGGGATCAAACTGGTGTCCCCTGTATTGCAGGACAGATTCTTAACCACTGGACCATCAGGGAAACCCGAATAGCTTATTTTTGCTATCTTTTCCTTTTTACCCACTTTCTTAGTTTCATCTAAGAGATGGCAGTTGGCATGTACTCTTCATAATATTGTGCAGAACACTTGACTCCATTTATGATGATGTAAATTTATAGAAAACATCCAGTTTGTAGTTATAGTTTTAGTTGAAACATTGTCACCAAGCTGGACCTTTTATCTAAACAACTCTTGGGTTTGGGGAGTGATTCTCAATAAGTACCTGTTTTGATTTAGTCATTAATTTTAAAAAGAAAAACTGTAATCAGTCATGCATAATTTCTTATCTATTTTATATAGCTAATAATGTTCTCTATTTCCCATGAACTTACATCTTTTTATTATGTGGCTGCAAACCAGACTTTAGCACTATTTTATCAAGATTATTTGCCGAAGTTTGACTGACATTTAATAGAGGCAATAAAGAGAAATATACAACATTGATGTTGCAGCTTCAGTACTTAGGTTAGTTAATCCAAATGTATTATGTTTTTGGTCCTTTAGAGACAAGTTAGGCCTATAGCAGATAGAGAATAGTGAGCTATGAGGAGAGGTTTGGAGCTTAAATGAGTTCATGTAGATAGTGGGTTGCTGTGCCTAGTTAAAACGAGAAGACCAGAAGTCTTCTAAGTCTCTGTGTCCATGTGCCTTGTGGAAAGTTACCTTGATAAATGGTAGCCTCCAAATACACTACCAGGCAAGTCATTCCAGAGGTCATGGAACACAAAGGATTACACACCAAAAAATGATGCTTAAGTCACATGGTTTACTGAATCAACTTAATGTACACAGTGAGGAACAAGGAGAGAGTGATGGGAGAGATTAACACTGTTAGTGAAGGATGCTGGTCAGGCACACAGATTCCAGTTCTCGATTCCTAGTTATGTACTGTTCTGTGTCCTCACTCTCTCTCTTCCTCACCAGCTTCCCCCTAATGGTGTGGCCAGGAAGAGGACCACAGTTGAGACTGGGGGCTCGGTCAAGTAGAATGTGCCTGAGGCCAGTGAGGCACACTTGCTCTGAGGAGGAGGCAGGTTTCCCTGGTCCCAGCTGTAGGTGCCTCTGAGACTCCTGAGCAGTCATGGATTCAGTTGTATTTCCTGGCAAGAGGACAAGTGTCATCAGTGGGTCACTGAGTCAAGTCCTCACACATACTGAGCATCTTCTAAGCCTCCTGCACACCCACTGTGCCATGAATACTTACTGCCTTGGTTACCTTTTGTATCTTCATCAATATTAGGTGTGCTGTGCTGTGCTGAGTTGCTCAGTCATGTCTGACTCTTTGTGACCCCATGGACTGTAGCCCGCCAGGCTCTTCTGTCCATGGGGACTCTCCAGGCAAGAATACTGGAGTGGGTTGCCATGTCTTCCTCCAGGGGATCTTCCCAACCCAGGGATCGAACCCATGTCTCCTGCATTGCAGGCAGATTCTTTGTCATCTGAGCCACCTGGGAAGCCCAATATTAGGTATAGTCACACAAATATGCTGTATTTACTTTGTATAACATGTCTCATTAGTTTCTAACTTATCTGATTTTAACATAGTGTGTTTCATCAATCTCATTTGTTTTCTTCTATGACAGAATATAGTATTCCCCTCAAATCAGAAAATAACACCCTAGAAGGACAAATATCATATGATATTGCTTATATGTAGAATCTAGAAAACTGATAAAAATGAACTTACTTATAAAACAGACTCATAGACTTAGAGAACAAACATGGTTATCCGGGGGAAGGGCTGGGGAGGTGAGAGATAGATTGGAAGTTTGAGATTGATATGTACACACTGCTATATTTAAAACAGATAACCAACAAGGACCTATGTATAGCATAGGTAACTCTTGCTTAATATTCTATAATATCTAAATGGGGGAAAGTGAAAGTGAAAGTCACTCAGTTGGGTCCATCTCTTTGTCACCCCCATGGTCTATACAGACCATGGAATTCTCCAGAATACTGGAGTGGGTAGCTTTTCCCTTCTCCAGGGGATCTTCCCAACTTGGGGATCGAACCCAGGTCTCCTGCATTGCAGGTGGATTCTTTACCAGCTGAGCCACAAGGGAAGCCCTAAATGGAGAAAAGAATTTTAAAAAAGAACAAATGTAATATGTATAACCGATCAGTTTGCTGTACACCTGAAACTAACACAACATTGCTAATCAACTATAATATAGAATAAAATTTTTTTAAAAAGCAAATCTTCCCTAGGTTAAAAAAAAAAGAAAATAGCATCCTGACAAAGACATTGGCCCTAGAGGATGCATCTCCTGTTGAAGGTAACTACATCTTCCCACAGGATTTTCTATTTTCAGGAATGAAAGTATACTTCATTAATGAGAGAAATTTTCAGAGATGTAGGTTTAAGGATTCCTTCAGGACTGCATGTTCAGAGTTGTGATTTTTGGTCCTTGGTCCTAATGCCTGAATATCTCTTTTTTCCCTTTCTCATCCCAGAAATCGGCTGAGAGCTCTTAAGTTAGATTGTCGTTCTCCAGTCCTTCCTGTGACTTGTTGATTACATTCCCATTTGCTTAAATTCCAAATCAGCTGTTGATTCCTCAGACTTTTCCTAATAGTTCTTTTGGGAAGTTTCTTTTGGAGCCTTCTCATTTACCACTAAATCCTTGCTACCTGAGCCCTCAAATTTTCCCTCCAACTAGTTATTTCAGACAGATTCTGAGTTATTGTCACTACTTCTTGGTCTGTTTAACACAGAAACCAAAACCTTTAAAAACAAACTCTCCTACCTTGTACACATACTTATCACATACATATATGTGTGTATGTGTTTATATATACTTATACACATACATATACCCACATGCCTCATATTCATATATATATTGACACATACCTGTTTTAAGAGCTTAGGACTGTTTGGGATTTATATCTGTGAATGTTTTAGTGATCTGTCATAATGTCTTGGGGACAGATAGATCTTTGTCCTGCTTGAAAGTGGTGCTAGAAAAAGATTCCCTGTACGAATTGACTCAGTTGGTTTTAAATATTTAACATGAAGGAAATTTCCAGATAACTCTCCTCTGATGAAAGGGGCAAAGAGAAGCAAAATTATCATATATAACAAATATGTGGAGGGAATTTGTATAGACAGAATGAGGCATTATAATGAATGTCTTCTTTCTGTAATAAACACGAACTGACTCCCTTTAAGTAATGCTTCTTTTTATCACAAAATTTGGCCTGAACGTTAGGTTAAGTTTCAGAGTAGCAGGGTAGGCCAAAATACTGAGATAATGGACCTGACTGACAAAGCTATACAATAAGTAACAGAGTATTATGTCCTGCTGTGATGCCCAGATGCTAATTATGTATACACGTTTCTGCTAATATATAATTTGCAATTATCTTTTTGTATTCTAAGAGCTGAGATCTTAGATTTTATGTGGCATTCAGTGAAAAATATAAAAATAAATGCTGAGGTAAAATTGTGTTTTACCTGTAATTTATGATAACATGATAATTTGTCTTCTTTTGACTTAAGTATTTTGGTGGGGGTTGGGATGATGGGCATTGGGCTCCAGAGTGGAGAAAGGGAGAAAGAGACAGAGACAGGTGTACAGTATCACCTTTGCTACCAAGAGGAAAACAACTTAGGCAAATGTTTGATGACTGGCGGTTGCAGCAAATAACTCCTTAAGAGGTCATCTAGAGTCCACATTTAGAAATGGGGGAAAAATTGTTACCAGACCTTTAATGAAAAATCAAAAGTTCCTAATTTGATGTTATAGCTCCAAAGTATTACTACTGTGCTTCTAAACTGAAAATAGCAATATTATGTTGCCCCCTACTGTTTATTCTTACCATTTTCTCAGTTCATTAAAAAAAAAACACTTAATGGTTTTTGAGTATAAAACTAACATGTTCATGGTAGAAAACTTCAAAAGTACATAAAGAGTATAGATGAGAAAGTAAAAATAGTTTTAATTTTTTTTAAAAGGCATTAATTTATCTTTTAATTGAATTTAGAATAAGAAAAAACGGGGGTGAAACTAACTGTTCTGTAAATTTTCTTCATAATCTCGTTCTTAAGATTTCTCTAAAATTAAAAGACATTAAAACACTTAAGAGTTACTACTTTATCTACTCATTTATTTGGTTATTCTACTTACAATTTTAGTTAGTAAAATTTAGAGGAAAACGGAGCTATCTTTACACACCCACTATAATAGCTAGGATCGAAACTGACAAATGTTGCTGAAGCTACGGAGTAACTGAAAGGCCAATGCCTAGCTGGTGGAAATGCAAAGTAGTACACCCACTCTGGAAAAACTGAAGTTTAGAAATTCTCTGTATATTCTGGAAATATACATGTACAGTGTGTGTGTGTATGTACACCGCGCTCCCCCCCCCCACCCCCAATTCGCTGTAATGAAGGGCAAGCTCATTCCACCATCTGACCACGGCCTTAGAAACCAGTTTGGGACTACCGAGCTACTGCTTTTCTGGAAATCAGGCAAGTGGGACCAGCACCTACTGCAGGAGCGCACTTGCCAATGCACCGTCTGCTCAAGCTTTCCTGGAGCACCGGAGCCTTCCGCCAGGAGCGTCACCGATCTCGCGAGACGACGGTTCCTTGGAGGACACAAAATTCCCCGGCTGCTAGGGCCGAGGATTTTTGCGAAGTTAAATTCCAAGGTGCAGAAGTGGCTGTGGGTTGTCGCCTCTAATCGCTCAGAAATCAACCCCCGGTTCCACACGGAAAGCTAGGACTCCGGCCGCCATGGACGGGCAGCAAGGGCAGGAAAGTCCCACAGCCCTAGCACTAGCCCAGGCTCATTTCAAGAAAGGGGAATACGCGGAGGCCGAAGCGCTGTACTCCGCTTACATTCGCCAGTGCGCCTGTGCAACCTCGGAGGGAGCAGCTCGCGGGAGGTAACTATCGCGAGAAGTGGGGACAGCGGGGTCTCCGGAAGCTGAGCGGCAAGGGCTCCGCTTTACTCTACATCTGGCGCTCACCCGCCCAGCGGGCGGACATTTGTTCTTCACGGAAAGGCGGTCAGGGAGCGTGCTAGGAGCGCAGGCCTCCGCACTTTGCTCCGGGACTCCGAGAACGGTGTCCCGACTCCATGTTAACTCTGACCGCGAGTCTTAGAGCGGATAGGGCTTTCCCCCCCTGTCATTTTAACAAGACCTGGTGGGGGCGAGGTGCCGCGCGGGTGCCACGTGAGCGCACAGCGTCACGACTCCAACCGTGCTCTGGGTTTTCACGTGTGAAAAGAAATTTAAATATGTGGAAATAGTATAATGAACCTCCAGGTGACCATCCCTGGGCTTAAGCATTGTCACTTCACCCAGGGGATCAGGTTATTCGCCCAGGGATGTCTCAGAATACATTTCTAGGCGTTAAAGGATTTAAAAAGATGCAACCACAGTACCATTATTCCTAACGTCATTATTCCAATGTCATTATTTGGAATTTTCCTGTTTGATCAATAAAAGTTGTTTTGTATGGCTGGTTGGTGTTTTCGCGGTTGGTTCAAGTCAGGATGCACATCAAGTCTCTCAGCCTTTAAGGCTCCCCTTCATTTTCTCCCCTTCAGTTTATTTGATGAGGAGGATATCCTCACCAAAGGATATCCAGTCCTGTGTCCTAAGAGTTTCCCATATTTTAGATCTTCTGGATTCACCACCCGTCCCCCGCCCCCATGTTATTTAACGGAGTCCTCTGTCTTGTGCATCGCTTGTGAGCTGGTAGCTAAGGCTTGAGGTTTGATCGAATTCAGATCCAAAATTGTGGTGAGAATACTGTTATAGGTGGTGTGTACTTCTGTCAGAGAGCATGTAGTGTCTTTCTTTTTTGTGATATTAGCAACCCTGATACTGACCAGGGTTCCTGGCCTTCCCTAAACAAGAGAAATTGATGAGAGGCCAGACAAGGAATTCAGGCAAGCTTTATTGAGGTCTCTGCTGCAGCAGGGCAGGGCGAAAACAAGTTTCCGTTGCTTGTTCGGAGCAAGGGGTGAAGTTGGGGTTGTGTCCAGGGATCTCGAAGGCTGGTGGGGTGGCTTAGGTGGTTTGCCCACCTCTTTGGACTAAGGTTTTGAATGCAGGGGACATGTGAAGTACCCTGTTTCTGCTCCTGGCACGCTGTTTTTGCTTCCAGCACTTAAGTGGCAGTTGGGATTTTGTTTGGTTTGTATCTTCTTGTCCATAACTGGCTCCAACTGCAAATGCACTCAATTATTTTTAGTTCCTTAGAGTTTTTGTATTTTGTTGCTGGAGAAGACATTTGTATAGGTGCAAACACTGCAGCAAATCGTCCTAAGTCCCAGCTCTCAGCCTGTCTCAACCTCACCTGCTAATACCTACTCTCCCAAAGCATCTTATATTTACGCCTGAATGTGAAGAATTTGTTGTACTCCAAGATTGCCTTTGTTGTTCTTGTTAACAGTTCTTGTTGTTAGTGGTCCAGAATGAGAAAAGAAAGACCAGAAAGGGGATAATGAGCAGTGTTTTTCTTGACAGTTTGAGTTGTCTGCCCTGTCATCCTCCTCTCCTTTCAGGGATTTGATTTTTTTTGACCGGATGCCAGCTTGTATTTTGTGTATGAGGCTCAAGATTCTTCTGTTTGTTAAACTCACATGGAACTAAATCAGAAAAATTAAGTGGCTTTTTCATTTCAATAGTACACCAGAATAATAGTTAATAGTTTTGAACAAGCAATAAGATGATACCACACCTTCCCCCAAAATTAGTAAACAGAAAATTTAGTTTTCTATTCTTGTTTCAAGCTGGAAGAACAGACTTATCTAGTAGGTTAAAACACTTTTTTATTTTTAAATTTTCATTGAGGTATAGTTGCTGCTATACAATATGTTAGCTGGACTGTGCTAAGTTGCTTTAGTCATGTCTGACTCTTTGCAACCCCGTGGACGGTAGGCTGCCAGGTCCTCTGTCCATTGGATTCTCCAGGCAAGAATACTGGAGTGGGTTGCCAGTTCCTTCTCCAGTATAATATGTTACAGGTGTACAGTATAGTGATTTACAGTTTTTAAAGGTTATACATCATTTATAGCTATTATAAAATATGGTCTATATTCCGGTGTTGTACAGTATACCTTTGTAGCTTATTTTATACCCAATGTTTTATACCTTTTAGTCCCCTCTCCTTGTTTTCCCTTCCCCCTTCTGTCTGTCCACTGGTAACCACTAGTTTGTTCTCTATAAGTCTGCTGCTTTTTTTGTTATATTTAAAAATTTGCTATATTTTTTAAACTTATCTAGTAAGTTTCAAAAAGGATTTATCAGCAATAAGCATAGCATTGTTACTGCTCCATTGTTATTGTTACTGGTGAGTCTCATCCTGAGAGCACAGATTTGTTGTGTGGCAAATGTAATTTATGCCCCTTACCAGCATAAGAAAGAAAATCTGCAATGGTTTAGTAGAAGATTGCTCAGCAAGCCTGCATGAACCTTCAAATTTTCTTATAGTTTTGAAATTCTTCTAGGAGCTCCTGGTTAAACAGAATTCTATCATTTTCAACTTTCTTCTTTAAATATATTTTTTAGAGTTCGTTTATTTTTAAATAATGAGTCACTGAATCATTTTGAAACAGTATTCTCAATCTTTGCATGCCTGCTGCTCTGAATGGTTTATAACATTTTCTTTTAATATCCAAAAGTGCAACCTTAGCCATCAACTTTATTTCCAAATATTTTTTCTTTGCTAAAGTTAGCAAGTGAAAAAAAAAAAATCTACGTTTGGATTAGGTAACTTGGTTATATTCCATTAAAATAAACACTATCATTACAAAAATCTCAATGTTAAAAAAATTTGGCTTTAACTGTTAGCCCATGTCTTTCAAATATGAAACAATTTCCATATGGAGAATAGGCTTTTAGAATTTGTTATAATGAGGTCTAATTCTAAATCAAATATCTGATGATCCTCTGACAATAAGACATCTATAACAGAGTTTTGAAGCTTAGAAATTTAATGACTAAAAACTTACTGAGTCCCGAGGCTGCATTTTACTTAAAACTCTTTACTGGGCAGCAGTTCAGCTAGTGTCATAACAGGGCTCGGTGACTGGAGTGGCCCCTTGTTCTCTAGGATTTCACGGTGGTGCTTGTGGCATCCTGAAGTGTCTGTGTACCCAGTCTGTCAGTCCTAGTTCACAGAAACAGGTGTTTTCTAAACTGCAGTGATGCCTCTCCACTGATAGGAAACTTCAACTTAAAGAAGACCCCCTAGGCTGTGAGTACCCCTCCTGGCAGCAGTAGTTACAGTGCCTGAGATCGCAAGGATTAAGATGTTGAGAGAAGTAACTTTTCGTAACACTGACTGCAGTCACAAATATTTTCTGAGAACTAGATTTTATGCTGTGGAGCTTCATGAAGACTGACAGATGAGTTTAGCCTGCACCTTCCCTGTTTGCTTCAAACTTGAGAGTCCCCTTTGCAAAAAAGAAAGGAAAACAGTCTTTCTGCATAGCTCATTGAAGTTCTCTGTGTAGATGGTTTGCCCTTCTACAAGTAGTGTGTGGGCTGTGTGGGGATGTGTCTTGTTGAGCTGGCGGTTGGTCAGAGCTGCCTGGATGTCTAACCCTTCACAGGAAAGGCTGCTTGCTCACAGCTCCTTGGGCAGCCTCCGGAACCCTCAGATGCAGAGCCATTTCTATGCACAGGAGTCCCAGTGTGGACCTGAGCCGTGATGTCTTTCTATCAGGAAGCCAGTCTGGCCTCCGGAGGATGTCTGCTGAGGCTGGAGGGAGGGTAGGTCATCCTCAGACAGCACACCTGGGGATCAGTATCTTGGATTTTCACTCAGGGCTGACTTCTCTTTCTTTACTGGTGGAAAATGATTTCAGATCTCACTGAAGATCGTTTAAAAATTTGAGGATATCATTTTACGACATGTCCATAGCGAACTTGGACTTTGGGCTGGCTTTCTCCCCTTGCTCGGTTCAATTCTGAGTTGTCTTCATTGCCCAACTGGCATGTGCTTTAAACAATCATTTTAATATTACATTCAGCAAAACAAGGTGACAATGAACAGGAGCTTTGACCACACAGTAAAATGAACGCACTTTTTAGATTGACATTGTAGTGCTAAACAACCCTGCAAAAGTAGACAGTGGGTTTAAACAGAAACTGACTCCATGGCTTTATTTCCTTGCACTCTGTTTCTTCCGCTTGGTTTTGCAGTGTCGACACTGCATGTTATAGGCTGTGAAGTTTGACAATACCCCAAAGAGAGTGAGAGTGGAAACAAGGGGTAACACTGTGTTTTTAATGTGGACTTTTTGTTTAAAGCAAATGCAGCCCTGAGGATTTGGCTACTGCATTTAACAACAGGGGGCAAATCAAGTACTTCAGGGTTGATTTTTACGAAGCCATGGACGACTACACATCTGCTATAGAAGTCCAACCCAGTTTTGAAGTTCCGTATTACAACAGAGGCTTGATATTATACAGGCTGGGTAAGAATTTCTTTCTTCCCTCTTTTGTCCTTGACGGGATTCTGTGAATTCAGAGCTCTCAAATGTTGTAAAATGGATGTAGTAATCATCCAGTGTGAAACTTAGGTGAAATTTAGTTTTAGAGCCAGGAGCAAAGGAAGTGTACCTGAATTTATTTTAGGCTTTCAGTGGGTGTTAGAGACCGCAGCGGGGCACTGGGGTGGGAATTGCACCCGGGCACCAGAGTGAGAGTCATCGCATCACTTTATGCCTGTGCGTGCCCGGCTGTGAAATGAGGGTAATGCTCCCGAGCCACTGTGCAGCTTTTCTGAGTTAAAAGCTTGGGAAGGCACTCGTGCTACGCCTGTGCTGAGTTGTCCAGTCGTGTCCCGACTCTTTGGGACCCCCATGGACTGCAGCCCGCCAGGCTCCTCTGTTCATCGGATTTTCCAGGCAAGAATACTGGAATGGGTTGCCATGCCCTCCTCCAGGGGATCTTCCCAACTCAGGGATCGAGCCCAGGTTTCTCCCTCATTGCAGGCAGATTCTTTACCAGCTGAGCTACCAGGGAAGCCCAAGAATACTGGAGTGGGTAGCCTCTCCCTTCTCCAGGGGATCTTCCCGACCCAGGAATCGAACCGGGGTCTCCTGCATTGCAGGTGGATTCTTTACCAGCTGAGCTACCAGGGAAGCCCGCTTGAGACAATATGTAGTAAAGGGATTTTAGATTTTGGGACTCTGGGGACTGTGAGGACTGTTTCTCCTTTAAAGCGTTAAAAAGAATATTCATTTCCTGTTGCTTAATATTACTGTAATTGCATTAAATAGGGAATATTTTATTGAAAGTTTGTGTTGATTTAAGGTATTTGCCTGTTAAATCCCCATAGGTAGCCCATAACTAATTTTAAGTATATTGTTCTATAATGGTGTGCAGAGTTACTGTGGTACACACATCGGTATATCGTTATCAAGAGGAAAAAAATTCCGTTAGTAGGAGTGGTTGAAAGCTTGTAAATATAAAAGCAGAAGTATGTGTATCCAAATTTACTATGAATAATATATAGAAATACTCAGCTTTTTTTCCTCTTTTTCATTCCTCCCCTCTCACCCCCTTGGGTTCTTGTACAGGATACTTTGATGATGCTTTGGAAGATTTCAAGAAAGTGTTAGACTTAAATCCTGGATTTCAAGATGCTGTTTTGAGCTTAAAACAGACTATTCTAGACAAAGAAGAAAAGCAAAGAAGAAATTATTGAAAATTTTAACTCATGATCCTAATGGCTGGCATCTCCTTGTCTCTTAACTGAAAGCTGGTGTTAAACTATTTTGATTTATATTTAAGATAAAGAGATTCATGCATCAGTGCTGAAAGTTAAATGCTGTACTTGACATAATTGATTTTTAGGTTGAGTAACTATGTTGAGTAGGTATGCTTTTATAAAGTGTAAATAATTAATAAGAATGTACAATTGTATCTTATTACAGTAAAATATCTTAAGAAATGTGTGGTATTTTCTTCAGGAAAACTGTTTTGCTATTTTTTATTCCCAACTTTTTATTTAAACATTTTTACCTCCCCAGAAAATTGGAAGTATGGTACAATAAACAGTTTTAAACTTTTCACTGAGACTCACCAGTTGTTAGCATTGTGTCACATTTGCTTATTCTCTGTATTTAAATATATAACTTTTTGCTGAACTGCTTGAAAATAAGTTGCAGATATCAACCATACTTTACCTTTAAATATTCCAGTGTGCATTGTCTAAGAATAGAGACAGCCTTCTTTATAGCCACAACACCATTATAATACCTAATAAAAGTAATAATTCTATAATACCATCCATGCCCAGCCCATATTTGAATTCCCCAATTGTTTCCAAAATGTCCTGTGTAGATTTTTATTTCTGGGATCTGGAGTCAATCAAGTTAACACTGCGTTCTGTTGTTAAGTCTCTGTGTTTTTAAATCTACAATAGTTGCCTCCTCATTTTCTCCCCATGGCATTTACTTTGAGAGTAAAGCTCTTTTATTTTATAAAGCTAGGCCAGCGAGACATAATATTTGGGCCTAACAATAAACATCTTTCATGAGAGCCATTTGAAAGAATTCAAGTTACATTTTTTTTTTCACTAGTAATCATTGATAAGGTAGTTAAGGTTTAAATATCAAGCATAGTTTTCTGTCTCTGGATAATGACAGTAAGGTTTGCCATCATCAACATTTACTGAATACTCAATATAAGCCAAGCACTGTTCAAACTCTGAATAATAAATTCTGAGTGGAATGGGGATGGTTAGAGAGGTGAAAAACTGACGAAAAGCACTTAGTAAATAGAAGACTTAAAAAAAATCTGTTTTATTTGGGTGCTGCCAGGGAACAATTAGGCTGTGATGAGGCTTTCATGAACTGGGAAGAATTTGAAGGGAAAACAAGCCAGAGTCAGCCATGTCTCACCTACATTTGTGTGTGTGTGTGTGTCTTATTGTTGAAGTTTTGGCTTTCAAAAATTCAGATCCTGCATCTGGGGATCTCCCAAACTAGTTTATTATTGCTATGGAAAAATGGTTCTGGGATGGAAATGGCCCTAATTGAGAGAAAAGAGTATGTTTGCCCAGTGTCCCCAGAGGAGGGTGAGAACTAGTAAGTCATAACTGCTAGATGCCATCACACCATCGTCAGCCTTCAAAGAGTTTTATTTTTTGTGGGTTTTTTGTTGTTGTTGTTGTTGAGTTTAAGTGATCTCATAAAGCGGAAGACGTAATTGCCTCATTTGTAGTTCATAAATACTGTCTGGCCAAATACTTTAAGAATCTGGGCTGCAGGTGAATGAATATTAAATGGAAATGAAATTATAAAGTAAACAAAAAGTCCCTTTCTGGGATGATTCACATTTTCCAATATGACTTATCTTTCTATTTGTTGGAAATGTCTTTTAAAGAATTTATAAAATTGCATTAAAATATAGAAAAATTCCTCTTAAGAAAACTTGTTTTATAAACGAATTTTAAAACTTATTTAAAAAAAAGCAAAGTCCATAGACCTTGGGAGAGTTTAAAGCCAGTCTACCCAGAAAATCAAATACTAGAAAAATGCTTCAGTAACTTTATTTTCTCTTGGCTTATATTCTCTTTTCTCTTGACTGGGGTTAGATATGAAAAAAAAAAAACTTGTTAAAAATTTGGTTTGTAGGGTTTTATTATTTGACATTTCTTCGTCATTTATCAGAAAAAAAGTCACTGAAGTTCAGAATCAGCACTTGCTTATTTGGAACCCAACCACTTATTTTCATCAGGTTACTGGGAATTACTGATTTCCAGTTATTTTCTTTAAATTTCCTCATTTATTTATTTCCTTGTTCATTTTCTTTAAAACTTTAGACCTCACACATTCAGATTCTAAATTTCTGTTTGAGTGAATAATACCTTTGTTATGTGCCTTTTAAAAAAGATTCTGTTTTATGTTTGTTATTATTTATATTTCCCACATTTCAGTATCTGTTGAGCTCTTTTTTTTTCTTTTAACCAGAAAAGTATCCAAACTATGCTGTTTTCCAGTTTTTCTCTTTGAAAACAAGGCAGAAAATTGTAGATTGTAATAGTTTGTTCTTTACAAAGTAAGGTAAGAGAGAATAAGTGGATATATATTGCTCTTGAGCTTAGAAAATTACTTTTAACTCTTAAAGCATGGAGCTGTGGGAATTCCCTGGTGGCCCAAAGGTTTAGACTCCGTTCTCCCAATGCAGGGGCACCAGGTTTGATCCCTGGTGAGGGACCTAGACCCCATATGCTGCAACTAAGAAGATCCTGCATGTCGCAACTAAGACCCAATTAAACAGATAAATATTAAAAAAAAATAACATGGAGCTATTTGTTTCTTTCCTGAAAACTGGAACTAAATGAAGCATGTGAATTTCCTTTATCATAGCAAACCGTAGCCTACCTGCTGGATGAGCAAACAAAATTTCGAAGTCAGCTTTTAGTCATTTTCTGTTTGCCCATTTCCAGATTTTTCCTCTTTTTTTTCTCTTTCACTGGTCTCTCCCTGCCCCACCCACCACACTATACATAGTCTTAGCCTTCTCCCATTTTGCAGACATTAGCCTGTTTCAGTGGACATACTGTATTTCAACCCTGTCATGCAGTGAAAATCAATCCAACATTTACACTGACACTCAGTATTTCCAGCTCTGCCAAATCTAATCCCTCTTAAACATTTAACTCTATGTTTCAAGTAATTAAACCCACATCTTGTTTAACAACTTTAATTTGTCCTTAAAAATACTTCTTTTAAATGAAAAGCCATGAAATGAAAAAAAATTTATGTTAATTTTAGTTGGAAAAATTATGAATTCTGTTTTAGCCCAGATACCTAAATGCTTTTTGCAGATAGAAAAATATATCCATTGAGTGGTAAAGACAAGTTTATATAAGTTTTAGTTTGAAATTACACAATTACATTTACAACAGTTACAGAAACTATATAATGTTTCCTTTACTCATTCCCCGCCCCCATGTCATTAAAAAAACTCACTTTATTGAGATACAAAGTGTACACTTCAATAGTTTTTAAGTATATTTGGAGTTTCTGCACTGTTCTTACATTTTTCAAGCTTTTTGGGTCTTATGGTATTCTGGCAGGCAAACTGCATTTCATGAAGTTATAACACAGAAAAACACTTTTGGGCAAATTAAAGGCGAAGCATTGAGAATGTTTCAAAACACCTAACAGGACACACACAAAACAGATGGAAGAGTCTTAAAAACTGCTGTCTCTTCTGATTCCATCCAAATAAGTAGCATGATTCCAATTTGGCTCATGTGATGTCCTCTGACTAGAAACTTGTGTGGAGTAACCAGGAGGTATGTCTCTGCCTGAAGCTGTGATGTCGAACTTTCACTTCTTATGGCATATTTACTTAATGTGTTTTGGTGAACAGGTTGTTATTTTAAAAAACAAATTACTGACAAACATATGGTGTTACTTTCCAAGAGCCAAGTGAAGAGGTAATGAAACAGTTGGTACATGAGCTAAGTGTGTAATTTTAAAAGCTTCCAGATAAATGCACATTGTCGTGTTTTCTGTATTTCTCAAAAATATGACATTAAATTATGGGAAAGGGATTCCAGTTTAAAATGGAGTTTGAGGAGAGACAGAGGAGACCTAGAGAGATTGAGACTTATTTAATTTCACATTTAATGTTAAGGGGACTTAAACCACTACATCATTTCATCCTTTATGAAAAGAAAGAAGGATGAGAAATACAATCTTTTTTTTTTTTTTTGAAAAACAAAGCAACTGGTAGGATAAAAAAAAAACCCTAATTGTTATTAAAGTAACAAGAAGATGGAAGGACACGTCCACATTGCAAAAGACATGATGAAAAAGAAAAAGCCTACAAGGAAGCCACAAAAGCAGAAATTATGACCTGTGAATATGCGTTTAACAGGGTGAAAAGAGCACTACAGTATAATGCCAGCTCTGTGTCTGTCAGTACAAACACACATACGTCGGCGAAGTGATGAAGATCTCATTTTTCGCAGGAGGAAATTGAGGCTAAGAAATTCAGTGACTTGCCCAAAGTTATGTCCCAAACACGTATGAAATTCAAAACTGCTGTTAATATCAATTAGTTTTTTGTTGCTGGTTTCAGAGCGAAACAGATATGTGGATTTGGCCTTCCTTTTTTTTTTTTTTGGTCCCGATGCAAAATTGAATTGCTCATAAAATGTTTTAGTATCCATCAAGGTGGGTATCAAGACAGTATTAAAATATACTTAGGTTTTATATAGCATTATTATGATTCTAGAATTGCTTGTTGGTAATTTTCCTGCCTGATTGAAAACAGACACACAAGATGGTGAAAAGCAGATTAATATTAAAAGCAAACTCCATTTGGAAAATTGAAAGTCACAGCTGCCAATATGTAAATTTGTATCTTATGTTAAGAAAAAGTATCCAACATTTGTAAAGAAAGCAAAAGGAGGTTTGTATAGCTTTTCACTATCATACTGAGCACAGTCTAACAAACCCACCCACAGAGTATCTAAATTCTCCAAGGCTGTGTCTGTCTTTTATTTCCTATTTACTCTTTTTAAAAAAAATTTTGTTTATTTACTTTTGGCTGCACTGGGTCTTCGTTGCTGTGCACGGGCTTTCTCTAGTGGGGCTACTCTTGTTGCCATGAGCGGGCTTCTCATTGCAGTGTCTCTCCTTGCAGAGCACCGTCTATAGAGTACACAGGCTCAGGAGTTGCAGC